AGCAAACTGTCTGAGCTAAATGAGTTTAATAATGTCAGAGAGGCAATTCAACTTTAATGAAAAGCTTGCAAGATGGATTCAGTGTACAGCACAAAAGAAGTGTGAAGAATTAACCATTACCATATTGATATTTCAAAGCCCGTTTGAGCAAACCATCTGTGGAGAGGTTATGGAGAGCATCAGGCCGCGAGTCGTGCTGTTGGTATCTCCCTCCACATCTATAAATAAGATGGCTTTAGGCTCAAGCTTTCATAAACAGACACCATCACTGGTGCTTGTGCCATAAAAGGTTAAGGTGAAGGGATTCCCACACACCATGGAGACTGAAGGGTTTATCTGAGAAAGATTTATCTGACATGAGACGTGTACTTTGGAAATTTGTTAAGCTATTGTTTCAGATCAAAGGGAGAGAGAGGGGAGTGAGTGTCCAGGGCAGTTAATTTCTGGAAAAGCATAAACAATGCATTATTAAAAGTTGCAACAGATTCACGAGCACTAAAGTGATCTCTCATGCATTCAGTTATTAAAGAGTGAAGTGTGTTGGTTTAAGATTTCATCCAATTGGTAGTTTGCAAGACAGACATCTTAAAGGAAGTGATTTAGTGATTTAAAATAGGATTTGAAATGAAACTGAAGCAGCACAGGTGAAGTAATCCGGACTTTTTAGTTTCTATCATGGATATGGCAAAAAACACTTGATCTAACACATGATAGGCCACTGTTTGTTTCCTGTTTCAAATTTGCTTTCTTTTAACCACAACTTTACCAAACTACTAAACCTCCTGTTTATTATTGTAACCATGACGACAAAGGACCCCTAACCTTTATGATGCAATCAGTTTAATGATGTTTCCCTAAAAACTGGCAGGGTCATTTTTGACCTAAACCTAACCAAATCGTGAGCACATGGTTGTCACATCATAAAGAAGATTTATCTTTCAACAGACAATACGACTTTCATCATCCAACTGTTTTCACAGGCAGAGAATGACTCCTTATGACAGGTAAGCTCATTTTGATATGTTAAATTCATGTTATCCTTTAACTTGAGCGGAGCCAATGAACATGATACATGATATTCTCGAGAACAAATTTGCTAAATTCTCAATTAGCCTGTCGGGGGGTGTTAGCACAGAGCTCCTCATAAAACAAATACTTTTCAAGACACGTCTCTCTTCCCTACTCATACAGATGATGCTGCTCAAGCTCGAGTCTAAAAAGGCCACATTACTCCCATGTATAATTATGCCCTACATCTCTGCTCCACCTCTGTAGACATCAATAATACATGACCGGTATATTTTCACCCTCCTTAGATACAATCAATCACTCTGGCTGGTCAGTGCTTGGTCTTGATCCTTTTTCCTGTAAATCCACATGCAGTATTACTGTGTTCAGGCTGGGGACCAGAGGAATGCTGCATCAAGCCACAGACTAACATGGAGTATGGCAGCCAAAGGCAACATCAAGACATGACGTGGCTTCTTGGATTTCCACTGTGCTGGTATTAGTTGGTAATATGCAGTATGATCTGATCAGAGGCTGGTGGCCTAGACTAGACTTCCATGGCCCCAGAGGACCTCCTGCTGGGATGAATTACTATGGGAACAACACGCGGCCTCATGTGATAGTCTATATGTGGCACTGCCTATGGCAAGAAGGAGACAGGGGGTCAAAGGTGGGGGGGAAACACTGAAACCAATCCTTCTGAATGTCGTGGGGCATCTGCCAAGCTCAGAGGACAAGTTTACACATAGATACTGCACATGCATAGAAACACACACACACACACACACACACACACACACACACAGACACACACACACACCATACATAGAAATAACAGGGCTAGCAGTAGAGCTCAAATAATAAGTCAATTAAACATATAAACTTAATCTGCAACAATTTGATAATCTATTATTCATTTAAGTCCATTATCGTGCAAATATGCTCATCATCCTCTGGTTCTTTCTACGTTTCATAAAATTGTAAACTTTATATCTTTGTGTTTGTGTACAATGTTGCCACATGCACATTTGTACGATACAGTGGGGTACTGTTTGTGTCTGAACTATGCAGATTCTCAGATACTCCGACATTTTCTTCAAACCCAAATTTTCTTGCTGTGCCACTGGCACTGAAACGTTAATGGCTATAAAGAGCTCAGACAAGCAGACCAACCCTGCCGACATTGTACGTTTACTGCAGGTGAAAAAAAGCAAAGGGATTCAAAGGCGACAAAGAGGTCTTGAGCTTTTATTGCGAGTGAGTGAAGGGTCCATAACAAGACATGAGCCACTTAACATTTCAAATGGTCCACGCATCATTTGAACCACAGCCTCAGTGAGTGCAAGAGCCTGCTGTGTGTCCAAGCAACCGAACAGGTTGGTGAGCAAAAGAATTTTGTGTGGTCATAGCGTTTCTGGGAACACAGTTGTCTCTTTTAATAAGTTTCTGTGTTCTTACCCCTCCCTTTTTCCTTGGTAATGTAGAAAACAAAGGCTTTTGGTTGGAGTCTGTTCATTTAACTAATGCCAGGACTTCAGGAGGAGAGGAGAGGAGAGGAGAGGAAAGTAGAGGAAAGGAGAGGAGAGGAAAGGAGAGGAGAGCGCCGGTTCTGAATTAGCATACAGCTGTAACACTTGCAGGAGAGACTGTCTGAGGAAGTGTTTCCTGCAGAGGAGACAGTTGACATACAGATGTGAGACAGTTTACAATAATGTAACCTGAACCGCTTAGAAGGCAGGATGTTAAAACTACCCGAGACCTTTATCTAGCAGAGAAAATCTGTCTCAGTGAGGGTGCATCTTATGTGCAGCTGTGACAGCAATGAGGAGGGTTGAGGAGTGTGGCGGGACTTAAGTGGGTGCCTGTGGAGAGACATTACAGTGGAGAGCTACCTCACCCCTCTTCCATAAACACTCCAACACACACCTGCAAAGAGAGGCTCTCCAGAACCAATGCATCTGTTTCAACATCCCCCGTTACAATGCAAGACTAATTAAAGAATCAAGGGAAGTTAGCACAGCGCCCTACACAGCAGTATACGGCTCAATTCAATTACAATAGATCAACGCCGCCTTAATTGAGCTTCATCGTGTAATAAATTTGCCTCGCACATGGTTCAGCTCTCAGCATGGTGAGTGCCTCACATATAATTAATGGAAATAAATGCATAGCTGAGGGTGATGATGCCCTCAGGTAGACATATGTGCACCCAACATATTTCATGTGAAACTGCAGAGGTTTTTAAAAAGCCTTGAGTCTCAGGTATATTTTGTAATCCATTCAGAAGGCGACATTAAACAGGCCATTACAGAGGCAGCTCACTTCCAAAGTCAGTCCACCTCCGTCTTTGAGGCCGTGGCATCTGAAACACGATCTGGGCACCTCCGAGCGCCTGCCCTGGCTCTCTGTCAGAGAAATAACAACAATGGCAGAGCTGCCATCCACTCCGACACCCAGTAATGTCAAGGAGAATGTCACCAGCAACCACCCGGAAAAGGCCATTGCTTTTAATGAGGAACACCTCGCGTGGTACATGTTGTTTTGTGTGTGCTGCAAAGACATGTTTGCAGTCTCGTGGGAAGAAAAAATGAAAAAACAGAAAGTAAGAAGTGAAAGAGGTGGAGGCTAGAGTTTGCATTCAGTAATGTCCCAAAGACGTATGAAGAGAACACGCATGAGAGTCGTGGCCCTGCATTGGGATTTCCCTCTGTTATAAACACATGATGGCATTGGCAGGGGGACAGCTGTACTTGTCTAAACAACGACACAGAAAGCATGGCCCGGTCCAAGGAGCCTCCACACATAATGCTCTGTCCACTATGTGCCACACGCATACACTGCTGGAAGACAGCTGCTGGTGCACAGCTGTCTTGGGCTTCACTTAAAAAGAGACTAAAACCCACTTAGGCAGGTGTAAATATGAGTGAGTGAACTTTGGCTTTCAGTGAGACCTAACATTCAAACCTAGCTTTTTTCATTCTTTTTTTCCGTTAAGATATCAAAAAGGTTAAATTCAACTTTGAAAAGATCACAAATTCAACCAATTGACAATTCAGTGCAGTGTGGTTTAATGTCATGATTAAATGAGCACTGCATGTTTTCACATTATAGTCCTGGGCTGTTGGTCTGTCAGAGGGGAGCAGGCACGGCTACCAGTCAGCTCATCCTTTTCCAGTGTTTACATTTTGTTTATATTATAGAGCATATGGCACAGAGGTACTTTAAAGCCCTGACAGAATACTCTCTACAGTGGGGGGGTAGGGGGTGGGGTTGCTTTCGTTTGAGATCTATGTTTGGTACATCTGTTTAATTGGTGAAATTTTACCTGATCAGGTTAATAAGCTCTCATGTTGCAACAATCGAGTTCACTCTACATAAAGTTTAAAGTTTCTTAACCACACCTATAACTATAACTACACTGGTGTTGTTTTACTTCCTGTCATGGCAAACATTTCCAGTACTTCATTCACACTTGTTATTGTTATTATCATTGTTATATGTTATTCAAACTCATTAGTCAAGCATGTCAACTTAAAGAAAAACAGAAACTTACTGCAAAGTAATTCAATGAAAAAATATGACTATCAGCAGGTTTCAAAAATGTTTACAAGGGGACTTTGAATGGATTTGAATAAATTCAATTTATTATCCAAGGTTCTCCTGATGATTTAATCAGACAGTGACAAGAGGAAATTGAACACTGGACCCCGTGTTGAGATGATGTATGGCATATGATCGTGCTAATTGCCGCATAAGCAACTCTGCTTGGTTAATTGGAAAATTCATCAAACGACTGCTGGCGTACACTGATAAAAACATGTGATTGGGGAAACGTGTAATGACGCTTATATCGTAGCATGTGGCTTCATTCACTAACTTTATGAGACTTTAAAAAGTTATATTTACAATTTAGACAACTGAAGAAAGAACAAGTGAAGTTTTGGATGTGTTCACATAAAAAAAAACAATCGCAAGAGTGATGGTAAACTTACATGAACGCATGGTAGATGAATGCCCATCCTCTTGGTCTCTCCAGCACGTTGTACAGGCAGTTTTGCAACTTTCTGTAGCGCTTGCTTGAGGCGGATGAGTTGGCCCGGGGTCCAGGCGGCCCGGTCAGCGGGGTGCCCAGCAGACCTGTGCGGTGAGACGGATGTCCGCGCTCCGGGGTGGACGGCTCGCTTCTCTCCGTGTGGACAGCGGTGAGAGCCACGAACTCTACCCGCCTGTCGTCGTTCGGAGCCGGGGGCGCCAGCATTCTGATGCCGCCGTTGTTTGACGGACTTCCTAACATCTTCAGGCTAACACGATTAAACTACATAAGATTTGACACTTTTTCACTGGATCATCCGCAGGGGCGCAGAGCAAAGTTTAGACCAAGTCATAGTCCTGTTTGTCTTTGCTGTAAAGTGGACTGAAAGTAGTCTACCGATCAGAACACATGAGTAAATATCATCACTGCTATCTCAAAGCATCTGACTGGTTTGTTAAGCTATGAAAGTTATCTGCAGATCAAGTCACGGTCGAGCAAGAAAAGATGCACAAGACTTGGACAAGTGTGTCGCGCTGAAACGTCAGCGACCATTGTTGAGAGTCAGATGAGAGACGTAAACAGCGGGGTGCAGAGAAGTAACTACACGCGCACTAACTCCAGGAGAAATATGAAAGTGAGCTGCTAAGGACCTGCCATCACTTTGCAGAAATGACAGCACAACCTAGCCTCAACCATCCATTCCTATAAATACACATGCAGTTACAAATCACAAAGCAAGCAAACGCAGTGGTCACGCAGTAGATCTGTTATCTAAACCAACGTCATTAACCACAATTACTTCATTAAGTTCGCCTTAGCTGTCTCTGTAGTTTTAACTGGCAGACTCAGTCTCTCCACAGCTGCTAACATCAGCCTGCCCTCGCCTCCTTGTGCGTCTCTGTGGTCCAGCGCTCCTCCGCCCCGGCAGGCGGGGTGCAGCGCGCAGAAGTGAAGACCATCAGTGTGATGTCAAGAATCGCAGACGACCGAACTCCGAAAGTCTGTAGAAAGAACAGGCAATTGTCTGCATCTGGTTTGCAAACGCTTGCAAAGATGGAAACCTCCTTCCTCAACGGGGAGTTGACGTGCAGGAGCAGAAGCGCTGGCGCGAGGCGAGGACTCTGGGATGCACGCAGTGACGGGGGGATGCAGACCGGACAGTGACTCTTTTTTTCTTTGCTACTGCTGCTTATGCATATGCCCTAATTGCTGCATAATGATTATTAAGTTATTATGTCAGTTTCTAAGCATCAAAGTGCACGAGGTACTTTGTTAGTTTGTAAGTTATAAGGCAATTACAAAACATTCTTTTTCATTAGTCATGGGTTGAAGTAAAAGTTTCCCTTGTCTTTCCTCTAATTGAAAATGTCACTTGTGTTTATTGTGGGAGGGGGGTTGAATCCATGGCTACAGGAGTTTGGGACAGCAGAGACAGGTGCTGGGGGACACAGCGACTCTGACCACAACAGCCTCCACCTCAGTGCACAGAGCTTTCTAAATCTATGACTGTGACACAGACACACAGGCTTGTGCTTATGACACAAATACTGGAGTTATGGAGCACAACGCCCTGTAGAGACATCACCTGTCGGAGGGCCTCTGAGGAATGCAATGAGGCGGTCCCCAAACTCCTGTTGGCCTCATTGTGTCATCTGACCACTGAAAATGACATCAGCAAAAGCCAAAATCATTCACAGCGAGCTGTTTTAGCTCTGTTCAGCTACAACAGAAACACCAAGTCAAATGTAAACATGGAGGAATTTCCTGATTCTTCAAAACAAAGAATGATTCTGCTCTTTTTCTCTGGTACCTTATCACTCACACCTCTGACATCTACACAAGTACACTCTTGTGAAATTAGTCTTGAATAACATGTTTATTATTGGCTGCATCAGACAGAGAAACTGATCATGAACCTCAGACATGTGTTTGGTACTGTGTAAGTTTAACAGTGCTCCATAACAAAGGCAGAGGCAGGTTACTCATGCTAACTGCGTTTGTGGCTGCTGCAGTTTATGGAACATGCAGGTCTGCGGATTGACATGTGGGAATGCAACAAATCTAGACATTATTCCCAGGGCCCTCTCCCCTTACATAACTTGACATTAGTAATCCTTAACTCTTTACTTGGCATATAGACTGATGGATTTAATGTCAGGTATAAGATAGGATCAACTGTTGACAGCTGTACTTATAACAGCAATGTGTTAATGCAGACTGGTGACTGGTCAACATGACGAATCAGTCTGAAATGTAAGGTAAAGTGTATAATGTATTGCTCTACTATCTATTTTACAAAACCTGTTTTTAATTGACTTATATTTTATATTATAACAGACTATACTGCTGTTCTCGTTTGTTTCATACAGGACCTAAGTCCTCCATCCTATACATTTGATCAAAATGTCCAAATTTTGACCGTTGTATTTTGGAAAAGTTATCAAAAATAGTTTAGTATGTTTAGATGTGCTTCTAACAGTGAGGTATCAAAAAGTATTGGTTTGTTGTTGGTACCAAAATGTAAGTATTAAAAAATATAAACAAATTCAGATTATGATCAGTTGAGAATCACCTAGATTTGTATTTCTCATTTGATTTATAAATAAAACGCTTGAATTATAACTGAATTTAATTTTAATCTAGATGGTGAAAATGTAAGGGCTGGGTTTTTAAAAAGGATGAAAGTGAAACTAACACTACCCACACATCTTAGCAAAGATGAAACAAGTATTTCCGCCTTCTTAATATAACAATATAGATGTAAATGACTGAGATAAGGGACAGGCAGATCTAATTTGGGGAAGGTCAAGTCTTGTGGATTGTAAACAGCTCACGATGGAAGAAGGTATGATCGAAACATCTACACAAACAACATCCTGTACTGGGAATCTCCCACTACAACCCTCTCTCTGTTAGCATGGTTTCCGTTCCTCCTCCTTTTTCTCTTGCCTCTCCGTCTCTCAGCAGTCCAAACCAGGCCACAAAGGAAGAAGGTGTCGACGGACAGGCCAGCCCCGCTCGTACCCTCAGGGATTTACATCAAAGTTTCAGAGAGGCAAACCCACGCTCCCCCTCTTTCTATTACAGTACCAGCTCTGCTCCAGTGTTACTTTCATCCAGTAATCAACACTTGGAGCTGGGCAGAGTATCCAACATGGCCTCTGGGCTAAAGGCTGCCGTGTGACAACACACAACAGCTGAGCAAGGTCAGACTGTAAAATGTGAATGTGGAACGGATGAACGGTTCAATGCACAAATGTACATTACCAGGCCATAAGGAAGAGCTCACACACACTCATATAAACAGATTTGGTGGCACTCATCAACAACTCTTTACACGGGTGGAATTACAGTCAGGGATGACCCAGAGTGGACTACAGGGGCCCAGTGTTAGGAGGCGGCTGTTGTGTTCCCTTCAAGCCCACCTATCCCGTCTCTGTTGTTTTTCCACTGCACTCTTCACTCCAAGCATTCACTCACGCCCCACAGAGCCCGCTGAGCTCCGGGAGTCGACAGCCACTCAGGGAATCTATGGGAACTTAAAAATACTCACATCAGCAATTGTTCGCTACACATAGCACAGTGCAAACTCACTCTGTCAGACCCCCACCAACCTTTTATTTCCGCTGCGCACTTGGACGTTTACTTACACCACTTAATGGCTTTCCCAGACCGCACTCTTGTTTGCCTTTATTTAATATCTTTTCTCTTCTGCTTTTTAAAAAAAAATCTGTTTCCTTCTCTTTAACACAGATTTTTCTTAATGGAAAACTTCAGAGGGCTCCCATGTTCAGAGAGGAGAAGGGAGGGGAGCAGATGAATTGTTGATACAGTGTCTGATGTGCTGGGTTAATGTTGTTGTGATAAGCCTGGTTACAGTCTTTGGAGAGATGAAATGACCTTGCTTCAAACAACCCTGTGTTTGGAGAAAGAATCCCCGCCGAGCAACACACTCCAACCATCACGTAGATGTTGTCAACTGATGAGAAGAAGCTTTCCTGCGATAATCAATCGGACAATCTGCCTTTCAGCAACACAAGTGTCAACCATAGCATGCAGTGACTCAGGAAAGGAGTCAGGAAATAACAGTAGTTTGGGTAGAGAGCTCTCTCAGTAGCCCATTCATGAGCAGTCAAAAGGTCCTTTGTAACTTACTACCACTCTTAGAACTTTTACAGTGACTGAGCGTGCTTCTCCTATGACTGTGCAGCATTTACTGACAACCATTCAGAGGGGTGGAGGGGACTGCAGTGTAGACACGACCTCACTTCCGTCAGGCAAAAAAAAAAAACTGAACAAAAAAAGACTGAGCGAATGCACAAAGGTAGCAGTATTGAAAAGTTATATAACCTGGCTGGTTTAAAAAAAAAATATGATTAATAGGCCACAACAAAAATTTCAGTTTTCTCAGTGAAATCTTGAACTCCTGAAAGTTGCTTTCCTGTATATGAAGCCAAAAGAAGAGACATAGAGTTCATGAATATCAGAGCAGAGCTCAAAGCAGAAAGGGGGGGGGGGGTCCAGGTAGTTTTGAACTTGAAAAATTTAGTCAAACAGATATTCTGAGCCTTTTATCTCACAAACTGATGATATTCACACTCTAAATCAACACAAATTAAACTCTGGCCAAGTTAAGTCTTTTCTTCACGATGGGAAAATCATTTAATATCCTTACAAACAATTTCTCAGGCTTTTGGATAGAAATTGATTGTTTATGGATTCATTGAGATTGATACAATTTCTTCCACACTTTCAGTTCATTGGAAAACAGAGTGGTCCTGTTGCTGACCCTGCACACTGAGCTTCTTGTAAAGGGAGAGAGAGAAAAATTCTCACTATGTGGACTATTGAACTGTCACATTATTCTTACACAACACTGAAATGCCAAGACCTGGGAAAAGCTTGTGTTATGGTTTGATGGTGATTAAAACAAACTCTCCCGACACCTCACAAAGACAGAAAAGGGGATCAAGCGCAAACCCCATCTAAGTGAACATCCGCTCCTGTTATGGGTTTGTTGCTAACTTGGTGAGGCCAACTGGTGTTGTGGTCCAATCACAAGGTCCAGGCCACAGCCAAGGCAGTCGGCCCCAATTCATCTGGCCAAGGTTGCCTTGATCTGACCAGACGGGCCAGCCAAGAAAAATACCACCAGACAATCCTTTTCACGCTTGACTTAAGCTCAAACATTCTCACAATCCTTGTTTCTCTTATTAGAAAGAGCCGAGCATGAGTCTGCACTCATTAATGCAGTTATTGTTTGGTGATTAAGTCGATTAAGAAAGGGCCCTACGGTTTGAGTAATGTTTACTTGTGGCGGTGACTACCATGGCTTACCCAGACAATTGTGTAGTGAGCCATCACTGTGGATGTGTGTCAGGGGAAACTCATCTTTTTACACAGCTTGATGGGAAAGCACTTCAAAGGGATACTTACAACTTTTGAACTTTGACTGTCAACACTGACACCATGCCAAATATGACCTTTTACTTGGGGCAAAGTGGGACATTATTAACAACATGCATTTCGCCGCCTACCCAATTTTCAGTTCCACCATAATTACTTCTCTTCCTTTTAAGATTTAGGTCGGATAAGGAATGCAGCCTGATCTCGCAGGAGCTGAGCGGTCTCCAGCCAAATAACTCGTGACTCTATTGTTAATTGCTTGCCCTTTGTGGCACATGAAGCTTTTCCAGCACGCGAGGAGGGCAGCAGAAATAAGATTAGTGGCGTTCATATAGTCTGGTTTGGGTGCAACTTGGGGAGATATTGATTACACATTTTTTCCAGACAATTGTGTTGCTGTGCACTTTGGATATGTCTATACTCCTTAAACAATGCTGTTGGTGAAAAATTGTACACCTGTGTTTGGCAATAAATCAGGTGCCCTAGTACAGTATATCAGTGGCATTTACAGTTCATTAGATCAGTGCTGCCCTCCTATGGCCATTAGGGAAAACAACAGATACTTCACACTAATACTCGCATGGTTAAAACCACCAGTGTTTTCCTGTGTTCATTATTAAAATGAGTCTGTTGAACACTTAAAATACATCTTATAATATGTTCTATAATAATGCTTACATTTCTTACCTATGACATAAAGTTACTATAAACGCAATAAAAGTAATATTTTAGGCTCTGGTGGTGAGATGCGTCTACCTGGAAATACAGAAGGTGGGTGATTGGGATGGTTCAAGTCTTATCTCTTGGTGTGCTGTAGCACTTGTCTCCTGTCTCCCTGTCTACTGCCCATGCACAAGCGAGGTGTTTAATATCCCTAAAACAGAACAATAAAACAAAGATCAGTGCGTGATGACACAAACTCACAGTAAGTCTACAAAAACAGGACTCTTAGACAAGTTATGGTTTTTATTTTTTCTCACAAACAAAGTTTGTTTACAAAAAGGAACATCAAAAATAAAATTGTACCTATCTATTGCATGTCATGCTGGCAGTTTGAACTACATGCAAAAACAACAATAATAAGAACATTAATAATAATCATTACTGTACAAAAAATGATGGGGAAGATATGAAGCCAAACATTTCAAAACCAAAAGAAAAACACTTTTATTGGGGAAAAAAAGGCTTCTATAAAAAGGGCGTTTTTTTTTTTTTCTGCAGATGGAGTCATGTGTTTGTACATGAGACCAGGGCACAAGACTCCAAAACCACCCGGGTAGAGAAGGTTGTGTGAAACTGCATAGAGGCAGAGAAAAGCCTCCCCACTCTAAAGACAGAGGGGTGAAGAAAGTAAGTGAATAAAAAACAAAATAGAAGAGTAAAGATGACTGCAGTGCGGGTGCTTGAAACGCAAGCACACGCCATAACATACACAGTTAACCTATACAGATTGAAGCCCTTACAACATAAAGTCATGCTTCATCGTCAATGTGGAAAATAACACAACATAGAAACTACATGAAATTATATTTGAACCTATAACTTCTCGAGATCCCTTAGATTGAGTTGCTGTAGAAAGTGATATCTGAGGTATATGGCTTCATTTCATCCATCAATTACGTGACAAACAAAGAAGAAGGTATGATTCAGGTTTTCACCAGAAGGAAAGCAAGAGGTGAAGAATCCCATGGCTTCCTTCAATCACAGATATGCCAGGACCAGATCATGTAGACAGAGACAGACACTTTCCCCAATTCATTTCCAAATGGAGAGCCGAAAGGAAGGTGTCAAGAATAAAGCACACACTTTTTTATGTTTTAAAAATCTTTGACGTTTGGACAAAGACAAGAGGAACAGAGTTAGTGGGTGGACAGACGGTGGGTGTGGCAGTAGTAGCATATTTTCTCTACAGATGTGGGTGACAGAAATACAAAAACTTAGATGGTAACTGAGCATGGATGCAACTTAGCATATGATTGCGAAAGAGTCAATCGGTGTCCCTTTGGTTTTCCAGTGTACTAAATTTATTACAAAAAAATGAGTGTTATTTATTCGAGGTCCCTTGTCTAAATGAGCAGTGCTTAAAATCAAGGTTATCGAGCGTCCTTAGTCGAAGTTGGTGGCATCTGTCGGCATCACATGGGCTGGTGTGCATGTTGTGTGTGTGTGTGAAGTAAAGGTTCCTGGTTGGGCTCAGTCGGTGCTGACCTGCGTGACCTGTGCGTCAGCTGTCTGGTTGGTGGACTGAATGAACATTGGTTGGGTCAGCTCCTGTCCTGCTGGCATCGTCACCTGCTGAATCTGATACAACTGCTGTGAAACAGAGAGACAGACAGAGAGGTTGAAGGTCTATGTGTACTTGGATTTTAACACGATGACATGGTGACAAGGTTTTAGATCGCTCTTGGGTTGTTAAAAGGTGCTATTTATGCTGCTTCTAGGATAAAACACCTTTTATCTGATTGAATTAGAAATTTTACTCACTGTTGTATAATTACATTTCTGGCTAATTCTCACTTGTGGCATATTTTGTGTTATCTGTCTAATGATAGTTGTCTGTAACTGTATCTTGGCCAGGGAAAGGGAGATACCCAATCTAAATGAGGTTTTCATGCTTAAATAAGATTTGGATTAATAATATTTTCCTCCTAGCAGCACATGTCAGCTGGTTAGCAGCTAGGTGTGTGCACTAGTTACAATTAGAAATGCTAAAAATGCCACAAACAAGGACAATGAGTCCGGTGCCACCTGGCAAATCTGAGATACAAAATTCAGTGTGTAGCTCTAGATGTCTCCGTCATTTCTACAGCTTTGACACACAGGATAAATTTGTTGCAATTTTTACCTGTCCGTCAGTAAACTGGTTGAATTGCTGCTGTCCTTGCTGTACCTCTGTCTGTGTGATCTGTAAACAAGCAAATTAAAGAAAATTAACAATTGAGCAATGTAAATGTTTGGATACATCTCATTTGTTTTCTGAATTTTATTTATGCTGCTATCGTGATTACCTGCTGGGTGTTGGCAAGAGTCTGAATCTGTCCTTGGACCACTTGTGCCCCGGAGACAGACTGAGCTAGACGGATGTATTGTAGTTGGCCAGTGTTTAGTTGCACCTACAGTCAACCAACACAAGGGGGAGACAGAGTTTGGTTAAGAGCAAAGGTCATTTGAATCCAGAGGTCACAGCCATTTTCCTCCTCTGGACAACAGCAGCACGGATAATTCACTTTCCTCTGGTGAATTGTTAACTTTCTAAAACATATGTTTGATGGCAGTCCCACAGCATCGAACCCCAGATCACTTTAGCCATTTCTTCTGTTTGAACCTGATCCCCGCTGCTCCACCTTCTTCACGACATCACCAATCCCTCCCCCTTGTTCATCATCATCTTTCTGTTCCACCTTGATGCCATTTCTTACCGGGATTTGCTGAATCTCTCCTGTGTTAGTGATGATCTGCTGCATGACCTGCATGGTCTGGCCCTGGGCCTGAGCGGTCTGAGCCTGACCCTGAGCTGCTGCAGCCTGGACAATCTGTACCTGCTGGCCCTCACCCACCTGCATGGCCACCGGCGCACTCTGACGGAGAGAAAAGAAGAGAGAGGAAAAGAAAGATAAAAGCAGAAGAAGAGGCAGACGGAAAGAGACAGAGACAGAGAAGTAACAACATTAGTCATTGAAGAGCAACTGGTGCAGACATGTAGTTTAAGATTGACACAGCACAAAGATCCAGGAAATCACTAACTTCCCTGGAATGTGATTTTAACCCAGAAGCATAAAGCTCATGTATCCTTAAATATTAAAAGTCTGTTAGAAGATCATTCGGCAGGAACAAAAGACATAGAGACATAAGGTGACAATGCAGGTATCACGACCTCTCTTTCTCTTCTATCTGTCACACTATCCAGGAAAGGCCACCTGATCTCATGCTGCGGCCACCCATACAGACCACTGTCATCCGAGCAGGACCGAGCTCATAAACAGCAGGCACCTACAGGGCTCAGGCAACAAGCATTGGCCTCTGCGTGTGTGGTTAGTGAACATATAAATGCATGCGTGCATGTGTGTTTACCGTGATGGGTGTGCCCTGTGATTGCACTTGCACTTGCTGTAACTGCTGCATGGTGGCACCTTGCAGCATCTGATGGCCGATAGAATAGAATGAGAAAATGAGAGAAAGACACACAGTGAGAAAGCAGCGACAGCAACAACTTAACACATGAATGTAAGCATGTGTGGCGTGTTCACATAGAAAGCTTAATTGCTAACACAGCAAACAGTGACATATAAGCAGCAATTGACACTTAAAAGCATGGTAATGACCATATGCAAATAAAACAGGAGAATCGCAAAAAAAAAAAAAATAATGGTGGAGTTTGGACAGGTTTTAAAAATGCATGTACATCACAAGTTATGCCAAAGGTTGCATAAGTGCTTATGAGAGAGCTGGTGAAGGGAGAGAAAAATGACAGAAATGGTACAACAGTAACAACGAGTAACACTGAAAGCTCTGCAGACGGACGCACGGATACATAAATAAAGGATATGAAATGAGATTTCTGCCCATCACCTTTCACCATTCTAACTCTTTCTTTTCTTTCTCTTGTACTCATTATACTTTTTACTTCTTCTTCGATAGGGCTTCCTGCCAACAACTCCCTCCACAGACCACTGTACCATACATAACATGTGTCTGATGGAAGTGGCAGGCTACTGAACTCTTTTACATCAGGGAACACTTCAAGAGAAGAAAGAAGAGGGATAACAGGGATGCAAATAAGAGACAACAAACCAAATACCTTTTTTGGAGAGTCAAATTTAAACCTTCCACTGATTACCTCAAGGGCCCACCTTTTAAAGTGCTAGCTTTTAAATAAGTTACAATGAGGTCTACGTAAGGTGAGTGTCACAGTGCGACCTCCCTGCTCTCAGCGGGGACTGCAGCAGTCGCAGCACTGGTGAATCAGGCCAGGTCTAAATGACTATGACAGCTCAGCTAAAGGCAGTCTGCTGAAGCAGCACGAAACAGCACAGCAGCCCAGCAGCACAGCTACATGACATGCAGAGAGCAAGCTGCAGAGAAGAGCGCTTAGGAGCAAAAGTAGTAGGAATGAGCTCATTAGAAAGAGAGACAACTGAACAGTGCTCCTAATTATGCGTGTTTTTTATCTTACTGTTTAGTGAAACACTGTGATCCTGAGGGGGAATGCAATCTCGCTAGTAGTCTGTGCGAGTGTGGAGAACACAGTTTGTGTTTGTGTGTGTGTGTGTGTGTGTGTGTGTGTGTACGCTGGAGACCTGCTTCCATTAAGAAACAGCTATTGATTTTCACTTTTTATTCTCTTTCAGCTCATTTTTCCATAGCTGAAACACAGCATTAGTGAGGATGAGAAACGGCAAGAAAAGAAAAAGTCCAGTGTTTGATAATTAATTTAAGGCAATGACACATTTTTTTCCCTTTTTTTTCTCTCTGTGCTTCACTTATAAAAAGGCAAAACATACACTGCTTACTATACTGTTTCAGAAACTCAAGGTTTTACAGCCTACAATATTGCAAAAATAAACAGGGGCTGATAGCACAAATTTTAATCAACCAGTTACAGTGTGTCTATAAACATAGTTCATATAAGTAAATAGAGGAAGAGGAAATATTCTCATTGGCAAAGCGCTCAGATCAAATGTTTACTCTGCAGGGTTTCAGAGGGAGGGTGTGCATGTGTGTTGTTATGTGTGCAGGGTGTGTTCTGAGGTTCAGTTATTCCTGCTGGTGGGAGAGTGGTCAGTTCCTAAAAGTGAGCTAATACTAATGTCAATAAAATGAGGCACGATGACCCGAGTAACAAGGCTTTTGCAGCGGGATTCCCAGGACTGGGTGGAGTTTAGAATGTGCGACTTTACACTACTGGGGAGAGGTAATCCTTTTAACACAGACACACACAGACACAGACACAGACACAGACACAGACAGACACACAGACAGACACGCGCGCACACACACACACGCACGCACGCACACATACAGAAATGCACTCTTTTCTTGAAGTTCAGTGCAGGATTCATTAACTTGTAAGGGCTGTGGTTTCACTTTGTTTCTGCTTCTTCTAAATCTTCAGAGCACAGATGTTTTGTACTCTAAAGAGCTTTGTGACAAACGCTGTGAAGAGCTCTTCAAAGCTGTTTGGTAGTACCTGTCCTTGCTGTGGTTGTGCGATGATGATCTGACCAGGCTGGATGGTCGTGGCTGTTTGTGCACCAGGTTGCTGGCCCTGTTGTGTTCCCTGCACCTGTACGGCTCCGGGCTGCTGGGCCAGGGTGAAGTAGTACTGCACCGGCTCTGCTGGAGCTACTGACTGACGCATCTCCTCCTGAAGATGAGAAACACACACACACACACACACACACACACACACACACACACACACACACACACACACACACACACACACACACACACACACACACGGAAGGAGGCCTATCAGTCCATTACATCTCCATGAATTATTTTTGTTGGTGTAACAGAAGAGAAGAGCAGCTCTGATAAATAACTGATGGGATGTGGCTGGGGAGGAGTAATGTAATCTGGATGTAAGCTCCATTACAAGCATCATACTGGTCAATACCATACACTGCAGGCCTGGAGGCATGCTAGGCTGAACAAGGTGATGTGTTTTCACTCTGATCAGCCAGGAGCAATTTATACAAAAAACTGTCTCAAACATTTGTTACTCCAATAGCTAAAAGGGAAGCAACTAATAATCTGACAGTTATTGATTTATGTATGGAAATCTCTGTCTGTCCTCTCCCTGGGTCAACACAAATGCAGCGTCAGAATTTGTTGGGATTCAGTTCACTCAGCACAGTTCAGCAGGTTAAACATTTGCTGGCATGGGGGCTTGAACCCAGGTCGAACAATTCTTATAAATGTAATTATCAGTAAACACTGACCTGTGTTATGCTGCTTCATAACTGACTAATGAGCGTGGCTTCATCTTGATGATGTTTCTCCATCACCAGAAGCGTAAACACCCCTCTCCCAGCTCCATAACAACACAGCTGAGAGTGTAGGATGTTTACATGCCTGGAGACAGTCTACTTGACAACAAATTTAAATATCTCACTCCTCCATCTGGTATACAAAATTTTCATACAATACATAAATCTCTTGCTGGAGCAAAACTTCAACGCAATATGCTGTTCTCTTTCGCTGTCCTTGTTAAATTAGTTCCTGGGAAGAGACATGTTTAAACACTTCATCCTACTAGTAACTATTAGCTACTAACTCAAACAACTAGTGCCATTGGTGAGGTTACTGTTGGCTGTCAGAGGCAATAAGATGCTGCAAACATCCGACTGAAAGCCCTCGCTGTCCAAACCCCAGCTTCCAGTCAAGGATGTTTACAGCCCCTCCAGGTTGCCAACAATGGAAACGCCCCTGAGATGACATGATATGATATGAATGATAACTTTAATTTGTGAGCAAATTATTTTTCAAAAAACTCAAAAACACTTCGGATACTCCAGCTGTTTGCCTGTCACTGCGCAGGTAATAAGACCATCCTGGAAGTGTATGCTTCCCTACCTGTCGTTTAGGGGGCTTCAGGTCGTCCCGGGGCACAATGTCAATCAAGAAGTCAAACTGGTCGAACTTTGTTATTGCCATGGCAATGTCGTTCCTCTGTAAACATAACAGACACAGAAGGTGATTAGGTCAGAGTCAATATATGCAGCAACCTATATATAAACATGCCTCAAGGCCTAAGGTCAACTCTCTCAAAATAGCCACACGAGAGGACACTTTGGAAGTGAAATGAAGTTCCTGGTAGTATTGTAACAGGTATTTGCTTTGAGAACTTAGCTCAAAGGAAGACAGGATTTGTTTAGAATTGAAACAATTAGTCGATAGAAAATTAATTTGCAACTATTTTGATAATCAATTAACATTTTGAGTCACGTTTCAAGCAAGAAAAAGCTAAGAATTGTTGTTGTTGCTTGTTCCAGCTTAATAGATTTTGGTTTTGGATTGCTGGTCAGGTACAACAAGTTATTTCAACATGTCACCTTCACACTTTTGTTTTATATACAAAACAATTAATCAAGGAAATCACTGGCAGATTAAATGATAATGAAATGAATCACTGGTTGCAGCCCAAGATAAGTTTAATGAAAGTTCAACTTTTTTTTTTTCCTTTCTCTTTCTTTTTTAACCATGAATTAAGACAAACAGATTTAATAAAACCAACCAACCTAGCACCACAATACAAAACCATGGATGTGTGAGATGGGTGGAAATGAACAAGAATGACGTTGTCCTGCACTTATGAGCACGCTCTCCCACTATACGCCTTCCTATATCCATAGCAGTGTGCTGTCTCTGTGGAATTTTCCACAGGATATTGGCTGTCAGGACCCCCCATTGTGGCCTTCCCTGCACTAGAGGCTATTTATAGTCGCTTGATTAATATCTGGTAACACCAGGTCACATCTACACTTGTTCTATTGATGAGCGTTGCTATGGTGACCCCAACTGGCGTGCCCTCTTCACAATAGGACTCGGGCTCAGCACATGAGTGTATGTGCGAACATGTGTAAATGGAGGGTTGTTTTCCCTAACTGAGACACAAGAAAATCACACATTCATGAGGTGAAGAGTCACAGGTACCTCGTGTGCCATCTGTGGTACGAAATGTAATTAACATGTAAACCTGCACAGTAAATGAAGTTTCTATTTAAAGCATACAGTCTAAAAACAAAGCATTTAATACCAAAAAAAAAAAAAAAGGAGCCAGGGACAGAGATAAGCCAAGACAACAGGAAAGTGAACACACTTCCAAAGTAGGTCTTCAATTTTAGACTTTTTTTCTACCTGCATTGGCACTGGCACACACACACACACACACACACACACACACACACACACACACACACACACACACACACACACACACATATCCATGGGCTGCTAATCTCTCAGAGGTATGTGAATGGATAAAGTGGACTTAAGGGCTTTCATGTTCTGCTCCACAGTTTTCCCCTCTTGACATCCAGGTGAGACAAACTAGCCTGATTTTCCCAACTGCTCCCATCAGCGCCCTCAGGCTCTCTGCTTTTCCCCTTCGCATCATTCCAGGGTCCATCTTATTCGAGTTTGGGACAGCAGAGCAGGCAAAATGGCACCGGAGGGAAAACTGGGTCACCGGTGCCCGCCTGGCTTTGCTTTCAAAGTCAATGGAGGGAGAAAGAACTAAATAGAGGGATAGTCCTCAGGGGGATGCTGGTATGGGGCCTCTGCTTGTATACGCACACAAACAGAAACACTTACTGAATAGAAAGTAACAAACCAAAATGACAGCTAAATGCAGGGGTGTGGGAGAAGTTAAAAGGTAAAAGGTAGCACAATAAGGATATGTACAGACGGAAGAAAGAGGTAGGGAAACAAAATGAAGATAGAGTAACGTAATTGTTACAGTAGATGGATGTGGCGACCCCCACAAATTGGCCAGAAGGAGTGTAAGCAAACAGCTGAGTCAAAAATTGACAGGTCAGTCAGTTTGACGTGTAATGAGGTGTGATCTGATCAAAGTAACACATTCTATCTGCCATTCAAGGAGGACATTAAGATGTAAAAGGAGGATGAGGAGAACAGAATTCACACAACTCAATGTGTGTGTCTGACCTGTAGTGTGCGTCTCTTGTTGTCCTCGGTGTGGATCCAGGCTCTGAGGGTGAGCTCTGTGATGAAGATCTGAGCCGCCTTGGCAAACAGGACCGGAGCCTCTGCACTGATCATCTGTATATAGGAGATGGAATTACACTTGGTTAAATACACCCACAGACTATTAAACTTCAATCACATGAATCACTCAGGACCTGAGGAACAAAAGGCTGCACCACATTCACAGGTGCTACAAAATAATTAATTTGTTTAAAAATGCTAATGTGACAGCCCTCAACTCAAACAGACTATATTGGTAAGCAGAACAATGCCATTATTTCTCAACAAAACATATGAACTTTTCTATCCTTTTCATTGTAAGCTACCTTCAAACCCTTATTTGTCCCTAACAACAATTCTTCTTAGCTTGAAACTCTACTTCTTCATATCGAGTGGCATTCAACTCTCAGACCAAGCCATGTGATAATTGTTTAAGTAAATGGACAGTAATGTGAAGCTTAAATGAAGTGTAATAATTCCACACTACTCACATGTGCTTGCACACATGCAGCGAAAGCTACTGTGTCAGGGCTGACAGAAGACAGATATGCTTGTGATCTCCTGATCTCTTTACCAGTATAAGCTGCTGCTTAACTAAGGGGATAGTGCTCTTGACACGACACATTCTAACCGTGCGCGCGTGCGCACACACTCATGTTGCAAGGCTTTCTCTTTGGAGACTATGAACCATGTTGGCTGATAATCTGGTAAAATGGGGGGAAAATAATTACTCCTCCATGTGCCATAACTGCCTCGTTGAATGCAACTGACAAATGTTAGGAGATTGGTAGGTTCCTCTGAATAGAAGTTGTGCACACATGCCCCAAAAAGCCAGTGATAAAATGAGAATATCTGTAAGACTGGCATTGTTATCAATGTGTGCTTTAAATTGAGTGCTATCAATTGTAATGAGCCCAATACAATTCTCATTGTTAGTTTATTCTACTCAATTGCTCTTCCGACATAAACCACAACTTGCAGAAATGTGGAATGTTTTAAAAAGTCAACAAGCAGCGAAAATCTAAAGCCAACCTTCTAATCTTCTAATAGCTGAACAATCAGTTTTATAATTTCACTTAATGATGGTTGATTATTGCCTTATGCACATTGTTAATATGGTTTGATGTAAACCCATGTGATATAAATAATGGACTTCTTATCAACAGGCACTGCTAAATGTGCAACAGCTGATAATATTTTTCCATTATAAAATAATCTTTGGTGTTGAGTCCAGCAGGGACTGAGTGTTCTGAGGAACAGGGCCACATTGAGGAACGTTATCCGAAAGGCTTTAAGGTATTAAAATAATCAAAATGCAGACTATATGTATACGAAAAATGTAAGTAAAATCGGATGCATTTAAATCATTGTCAAGATTTATTGCCAGTCTTTATTACCCATTTTTCCCCAGTCTTACCTTTAAGTGAACTTCTCTCTGCTGTAATTTCAAATACGTTGCAGAAGTGTCTTACGGCCTTATCTACTTGGTCATGTTTGTAGTGGATTTAACCTCTCAGTTTCAAGAAGAGGATAATGTGGCAGTTTGGTTTGTTACATACAACAAATATTCTCACACATTATTGTCATTTATTTAAACTGTTTTCTTACTTTGACATCCTCATCCAGCTTCATAATTTTCTTGATTCGAGCTAGAGGCAACTCCTGCACACGAAAATCCTTCTGAAAGTAACAGATGGCTTTCCAGTTAGAGACATTAAAGACACAGAGTAGAGCACAAATAAGTTGAGTTTAGTATTTACATTTGTGTATGTTTGAAACCATATAAAACCATTGAATTTTAGTGTTGTCACTGGTATGTGTTGGTCTTGTCTATTTCAGTGGGCATAACGTACCACAGTCAGGTTCCTGATCTCCTCCATGACACGAGGCCAGAAGGACTGCAGGGTTTGCTGGGCATCGCTGCCCCCGGCTCCAAACGCATCTGCGGACATCTTCTACTCTGCTGCATGGAGGAATGACAAGGAGGAGAAAGGAAGAAGCAAGTGTTAAATATTAGAAAAGTCAAAAACAAAGACGTGATGTGAAGATTAAGAGACACAGGGGACAGGTCATTCACTAAGAACAAAGGACACCAGGACACAGAATACAGTGTCAGTCCAAGCCAGGCCAGTGCTGCCCAGAGCTCTCCCCGTGTGTCACAACCACATATCCTATCACAGCCTATAATTATAATACAGTGAAATCTAAAATAGAGCCCCAATGGGCTTCTATTCTCGTCCTTGTGGGATGTTGACATGCCCAAGAACCCACCACCAGACTAGCTGCACACTCCCCGATTATGAATGGCTCCATCACCTTTGGCCCATAGCTGGAGCTCCTCTGCAAACACAAGCACGTCATGTGCAAGTCAATAGCTGCTGGTGACCCTGTGCACTGAGGACGCATGTGTGTTTGTGTCATAAAGAAAAGATCTCCTGACAACTGGGTCCTATTTTTTTTGAGGTGCGCACAACACAGACACAGACACAGACACAGACACAGACACACAGATCAAAAGTTGTAAAGTGAAATGAAGCAACTGTTACAAATACATGCATGCAGACATAAAAGCCAGTGCTTCTACAAGGGGTCTGACGGTTTGAAAGAGGATCCAGCAGGTTACTATGGCATGCCAGGAATCTGCTGGGGGAATATTGGCCTGCCTGTCTGAGCACGCAGAGCTTGGAGTGTCTGGATCGCACTCTTTCACTCTCTCCCTTTTCTCCCTACCTCAGTAGATTCAGCAGAAGGGAGAAGAAAAAGAGACATTGGGGGACAGAACAAGAGATGAGTGTGTGGAGCTACTCAAGGGAGACTGAGTGTGTTTTTGTGTGTTGCTGAGGGAGGGGTAGTGCCTTGTCCAGTTCAGCATTAATCCAGCGCTAAGACAAAGTGCCAAAGGGTTTAACAGGGGGAGGTAAGAGAGAGACAGGGCCGCAGTCAGACTGCTGTGCAAACTAGCTATGTGGGTCAAACAAGACAGAAAGAGGGAGACACAGAGAGAAAGAGAGAGACATGACAGTACAAAGAAAAAGAGTGTTAGGAGAAGGGGGGGGGTCTCCTCTTTATCTTCTCTTTCTTTTCTCACTCTGAGCCAACAAGCATGAATGGCTGCAGCTCAGGTCCAGCTGACAGACCAATACAATACAAAAAGACAGCCTTTCAAACACTCCATCCAGTGTCTCCTCCTCTAGGTCCTGTTACAGTAGTGTTGTATGGGATTGCTTTGACTTTGGGTCCAGGTCAGCTCCTTTATTCATACCAGTTAAGTGCAGCTGTGAATATTTTACACCGATAAATCACTAATTCAGAGTGCAAACCCTTTACCTGATTGATTTTTGACAGGAAAGATCGCTTTGTCTGGCCTTTGTGGAAGTTACTGAATAATATAGAAGAAGCACTGCTGCATCCTGTTCTGTCATTCAGTTTTCGACAGAGAGTAACCTAAATCAATGAGACAGAATAGCAGTGGGGAGGGGGGGGGGCTTTATATAAATCAATCAGGCCGCTTGTAGCTATGACATGCCAGGCTAGTGATTGACCTTGACAATGTCTCCCCTTCTCTGTCTGATGCTCCAGTGTCCAGTTGCATTTCAAGGTTGATTGAAATCCTGCAGTCACTAGAACAATCCCAGCATTCCATGCGGCAGGAATGACTGATGGGAAGTGTAGTTTTTCCTCCACTTCCCGATGGGCGAGCTGACCTCTGCCAGTTCTTTTGCTGCCTCTGTGTACTTTGCAGCACCATGACCATGCAAACAGGCCCAAAAAAATAAGAGCGATGAGAGCCATTTGTTTTTCTATCTAAATGGCATTTTACCACTGGTATCAGCACATGATCTTGTGATCATTTTGAACAACACAACCTTGTGTATCTGTGTGTGTACTATCTGCCAGCTTGTGTGGCTCTCTCCAACTGGTAGCCCGATAAGAAACCATAATTAGGAATTTCACTTAACATCATTACAGACAACCATCAGGCTAATTACCATGGTAACAACACTGAGGCCCAGAGGAAACAGAGGAGGATAGGAGTTAAAATAGCAAATGATTCAATTGATAAAAAGATAAGTAAAACACACAGGCCACCCCAGCTCCTCCTTCTGCTCTCTCATACATACCTCACTTCTCTTAAGCTCCTGCCTTTACTTTCAAAACAGAGAGAGAGAGAGAGAGAGATGTTATTAAATCACATACACCCCAACCCCCTCTCTCTGACCCCGTGACCTTCAATCTAAATACACAGCCACGCACTAACCACAGAAAGCAGGAGGAGGGGAAGTCAGTATGTGAGAAGAAATAAGAAAGCAAGTGTGATGAGGCAGGCTGAAGTGTGAGTGGGGGGAAAAAGAAAGAACATATGTGAGAGAGGCTAAGTAACAACATGTCCTTGAGTGTTGCTCCTCCAAGCCACTGTGTTCAACCTACAGTAAACCAATATTACCATATTTCCCAAGGCCTTGCATCAATGGAAAGTTTGCGTGGGAGATTGCTGATGTCTGACACACAAATACAGAACATAATGTCTTCTGCTGACTTATGCAACACCTTCTATGGTCTATTCAAATAAACACTCTGAGAGGTGCTATCCACTGCACAAAGAAAATCAATTTTGATACTCCCCGAAAGCTAATAAATTATAAAACTTATAACAATCTGGAGGTGGATACATATAACTATAGAACGCCAGCGTCAAAATGGCTTATTTTATCTGCAGTGACAAGTACCATTAGCTTCTGTATTTCAGGTCTCCAATCAATAGTAAGTTTTGAAGTACTTCTTAAATGAGAATCTGGACTAAAGAATTTGTTGAAGCTTGTTTGTCCGGTTCACTTCTCACTACCTGTTGTCAGTGTTGTAAGTCGCTCTACATCAAGTATCGACAAATGTTGGGAATGTACCGTGCTTTCATGTGAGATTGTTTTTCTTGATAATGCAGTGGATCATTCTGTTCAATGAACCTGACAAGTTCATCTACGCTGTGTTGTTCTAAGCTGCTACTGTATGCTATATTAGGGTACATCGTGTTGTTCTGCACTGTGCACCTCTCCTCTCCTCTTCCCTGCGGTTCTGTTGTCCTTCATCAGGTCATCGAGACAGAGAGATGCCGGTGTTGGGTTTCCTAGGAACTCTGCTCTGTGTATGTGTATCTTTGAGGACAAATGTGATGTCTGCACTTTGTCGACATTGTCCAACACAGCAACTCGCTCTTCCTCCTTCAGCGGCTTTACATCTCTCTTCCTGTCTCTTCTCCAGTTCTTCCCATCTCTCTCTGTCACTCCTTGGTACGCGTAACTTTCTTCCTGTCTTACTTACTTTTACCTGATCCCCCTCTTCCAACTTCTCTGGGAAAGTCAATGTTGCTCCGCTTCCAGCAGCTGAATCAGCGCTAATGTTCTCACAGCCCCGTCCTGCATCTCTCTTCTCTCGTTTTCATCCCTCCCTCCCCCCTCCCGTTCTTGCTTGCTGGCACGTCACATCAAGTGGCCACTCACAGCAGCATCAGCAACTCGCTCCAACTCTGACATCACACCACTTTACATGAGCCTTCAATTCCTGTCCAAATAAACCTGATAGGACCTTGGATCAGTGCAGGCAGAAAGGCTAAAGACCGGAAAAATACAACAAGATAGTATCACTTAGCCATGTGTCTATCTATTTGCTCCTTAAAATTAGTATAAGAGAGGGAAAACAGCAAAGACACACTGCAAAGTTTTATGCCTGCAATTCCACACATAGGCATCATTTCAAAAGTGAGTACAGTGGAGCAAATTAATTAACTGGTCTTTGGTTAAGGTGAAATGTTTTGCCGTTAACTGCCCCTTAATCACCTGACAATTGGTGTAAAGTGATCTTAATTTTGCTGATTGCAGTTGATAGGTAATGAGGTAAGGCAGTTTGGGACAACCTGAAGGCCTATTTGAGGCAGAAGAGTGAACTTTTCCCTGAGGGGTTTCAGTATCACATTGTTGCAGTGCTGAGGAAGAATTCATCTCATCACAGATCTTTCCCTGGAGCAGGGCTGACACTTCACATCGAAGCAGATGTGCATTGAGAAGACCTGACTTACACAGAAGCAGAGTGTCATATACTGTACCAAGTTAGTGTGTCATTTTGTGCCAAGCATAATTTCCGTTAAGTGAGAACTCTTACACCTCAATCACAAAGAAACTTTGTCAGTGTAAAGACATCAGTGTAGCCATTTAATTAATGTGTCTGGTTGATTTGATTAATCTTAATAATCTAAGACTGTAAAAAGCAGTGAGAAAGTACTACACTTATGTGGATAATAACTCAGAAATTAAAACATAAACACAAATTAGTACAGTCACAATCCAGATCACTACTTGCATATAACATGGTTGTTTGGAATATAGTTCAGTCCAACTTTTTACAGCTCCCTTTTAAAACACAAGTGAATGTTCATAAACAAGGAGAAGAGAAAACTGACATAAATTGAGTTGACAAATGTTAGAGCGAGGGCATGACAGAGAGGAAGGAATAAAAGAGATACAGTTGATTTCTTTCCCCCCATACTATGACCTTAAAGTAACCTTCCACATTATTACTCTTCATGGTTACACAGAGTTAAAACATCAGGGAGTACAAAGAGCAAATATGTAGCCACATGAACTGGTCACCATTCAGTTTTAATATAAATGATGAAATCAAATGAAAGACATTTTTTGAATGATACAGAACCAACTACGGGATGAATGTTGCTACACTGACATGTATTTAGCAAGAGGTCAGTTTTCCACATGCTGCTGTGTGAAACTGTCAATGCTGCAGAATGGACAGTTCTGCAGGAAGGTCACTAAAGGTTGATGTCTGCTAGGTTTTAACTGGCCTCCGACGCAGAAAAGCGAATGCAGCTGTGTTTACACAACATACATTACCATAAACCAGGATATATCATTGAACCACTTAATGTTTAACATTAGGCGTTTACTACGACAGTTTTATTCTGATCTACTGTACCCAGACAGATGGAATAAATACAGCCTAGATAACAAATGTCAAGCTGACAAACATTCAGTTCAATTGATGACCATATATCAAATGGGGCATTTGTACAAATCCTGAACTATTAAAGTGTTCACCTTGATGAACCCAATCACAAATGGCATACAGACTGGCATGGTTACAACATGCAGGGTAAATGATTTACTCATGCAAAACAAAAAAAACAAGAAGTTCCCAGCCAGGAATTACAGATTAACTACTGGGAAACGCACAACATTTTCACAGATGTTGGTGCAAATGTTTCGTGATTTAAAAAAAAAACAGACAGGGTTATAATGACGGACGTGCTCACTGTGACCTGTAGTGTAACATCTCTCTGGCATTGCTGGACCGATCCAGCCAACCAAACAGCCCTGCAAACTTTGCCCTTGGTTCTGCTTCAAGCCAACTCCAGGAAGTGCTAGTCACTGATCTCCCAAGGTCATTCAACAGAGGAGAGAGAGAAACCAGAGAGGGAGGAGGGAGGGAGAGGGAGGGAGAGAGAGAGAGAGAGAGAGAGAGAGACAGGGAGAGGGAGAGAGAGAGAGAGAGAGATGAAAGAGAGAAGGGGAGGGACAGGGGGAGGATAGAAAAGGACACGTTTTTCAACTTTCACTGCAGCACTTAAGTGACCCCAGTGGTGCGGTCTGTGTACTTTCTAAGACGCTTAATAAAAACATCACATACTTAACATATTAGCTATGTACTGTATCCCCCTTTGAGTTTCACTTCTCATCTCCCGCTACATGTTTCCCTCTCGTTGCTGACAGAGAGACTGCGGGGAGCCAATCTCACATTCCTGTGACCTTCATCCAATGCTAGGCCCAGTCCCTGGCGTCAAAGAAGGCAGGGCTAAAGCTACCTGCATATTACATGCTGGAACACAGCTGACTCCCCCTGGCTGCCCACACACACTGTCTTTACTGACAGTGTGCACATGTAAAAACACGAGGGGGGGGGGGGCAAGGGCAAAAGAGTGAATGCACAGCGGTGATAAGGTGAAAGGCCTAGCTATGTCTAAGTGGTTTGCGTGTGTCGTTTACTTTTTCCTCCTCCGGTGTCCCTATGGTACAGCGTAGGGCACAAATGATATTCAAATCTCATGCAGACAGCAGCCAGCCCTGGGATTTGGCAGCAAGGGCTTCAACTTAAGAGTTATTTTTAGTCTCCCTCTCTCAGTCTCTCGCACACACACTCTCTCTCTCTCTCTCTCTCTCTCTCTCTCTCTCTCTCTCCCTCTTTCCCCAATGGGACTTTGTTTTGTCAAAGGCACCAATGGAAACTTTCAATTAAGGAGCAAGGGAAAGGAGAGAAAGGGAGTCAGAGGCAAGTGAGAGAAGAGGCACCCTCCAAAGATTCCATCAGAAGAGATCAGATCAAACTATTAGCCTCCCCTGCCCCTGAAGCTGACAGGCTGACAGTCTGTCCCATCTGGGCGTCTGTCACTGTCGGGGAGGGGGCCTGAGGGGTCCTGAGGTCACTGCAACCAGCTGCACCTCCACCCCTGGAGACCCCTAACACCAACAGTGACAACAACATTGAGAGATGTCCTCTCAGAGTCCTCCATATATGACAAAACCTCAGTTCAACATAGGTGCCATCTTTGCTGCTCAGCTCTGCGTCACTGTCTGGAACTAACATGTAAACAAGGACGTTACATTGGAAAGCGGGGTCCAGACCAGCACCCTGAGGTTCTGTGGCCTCCAGGACATCAATACCTCCAAGACAGTGAAGCTCTTCTAAGTAGAGAGTCAGAGCCTGGCAGCTATGCACTTCCATGCGGCCGATAACAGGACACTGAGTAAGTGTTTAAGTGTGTCTTCGGTGTGGTAGTCCAAAGTCAGAACACAACAAGTGACAACCACAGACAGACTTCACTCTATATTGATACTTTGAGGATGAAAATATAACAAAAAAAAAGCAACATGAAGATCCAGCATAGTTTGTTTTTTTTTTAACCACAGTCCACTCTCTAAAAAGCAGTAACTGAAGGACATGGATGAGACACACACACACACACACACACACACACACACACACACACACACACACACACACACATGACTCCAGTCTTCCAAGGAGAGTACTACAAGACAGGAAAGGGAGGGGGATTGAGGACGGCTGTAAAGGACAGACACAGTCTCATCACTGCAGAGCATGATGGAGAGAGAAAAGACATCAGAAAGTGAACAGAGGAGAACTATTTATTCAGAAAATTTAAGTCTAACCAACTTGACAAGTCTCCTCTCTATGTGTGTTTCCAGCGGTCAGACTTACCCCTGTGCCCTTCATGGTGAACAGTCTGCCCTGGTGGAGCAGAGCAGAATAGAGGGAAATAGATAGCCCCGTTCAAGTCTCCTTGAGAGCAGCAGCGGCAGCAGGAAGAAGAGGCACAGAGGTTGACAGAAAAACTCTCTCAAGCTCCTTCACTTCCTCCGGTTCCCTGATCGTATCAACAGACAAAAGGCACTCTGGCTCCACTGGACGGCTTTAAAAAGGCTCTAAGCCCGGACACACAGAAGAGCAAGCCCCCCCCTTCTTCTACCCCTCCCCCTCTCTCTCCCACTCTCCCTTTACACATTGCCCTGTCTCCTTCAGCAGCCCCCCAGCGTCCTCCTCCTGCCTCAACATACAGCCCCGTCTCTCCTGTTTCTCTTCTGACCAAGTCCCCTCAACTCGCTGACCTTCTGTGTTTCTCTGTCTTTTTTTACTCTCTAACCCCTCTCCCTCTCTCTAACCAGTGACCTGTGCGTTTGTCTTTGAGCTGACCCCTGGCCCGGCGCAGAGAAGAGGGCGAGAGGGAATAGAAAGCCAGCACAGCAGCAAGCAACAGCGCAACAGCAGGCAAACAGTACAGCGGCACTCCCGACTCTCAGACAAAAATCTCTAGCCTCCTTCCCCTTTAACATTCAAGAGTAATCAATCTAGCATGCTACATGATACTCAAACCCCGCCTCACACCCGGCTCCCACCTCACTCTTACACTTGCAACCAGTGAGAAGACAGGGTCCTCCTATGCCATTGGATGCTGCACACACCAATCAGCTCTGACACATCCCCTGCTCCTCCCCTTTCCTCCGCCCAACCCCCTTTTACCGACAGCCAACTTCCTGCTCTAAGTTACCTTGAGCTGCAGGATAGGGGTCAGGGAAAAGAAAAGAGGAAGAGAGAGTAAAGAGGAGAATAGGTGAAAAGGAGAAAATAAAGTTGTGGAAAGCTCTTCGGAGAGTGTGTGAGGGTGTGCTCGTAGTGGCTTGCCTCGGCATGGTTTGTCCTCAGGCGTTCCCTGCCTCTCCTGCTGCTGGACGGATGAGAAAGGTTCCACGGGCTGCTCTCTGACAACTGCTCTCTGCTTATTTACAATGTCAAACTAAATGTCTCCCTCCGCCCCGCCTCCTCTCTGCTGCTACAGGCTGACAGCACAGTGATGCAGGCAGCCACGCTGGCCCTCACTGGTTAAAAGAAGTGCCAGAATAGATGCCGCATGTTGCATCCACATGATTTAAAGTACAAAAGCATACTAGGCAGACTCCTGTCTCATACGTGTGCACAGGCATACATGCACATCCACACACACACATACATGTTTTGTCCTTGCTTTCTCATTCATCCTTGCTCACAGCCACAGGTACACACCGCAAACATCTAGCCTCTAACCAGCCTACCTGTTATAATGAGATTCATTGTACTCTTAATATTATGCTAACAGAGGAACATTATCTACATGCATGATCCCTCATTATACGTTTAGAATATTAATTAGTTAAATTAGACTTTATTCAACAAATTCTCATGACTCATGAGAACTTTCACTTACGCAGCTTACTACAACCAAAACATAAATCCAATGACACCCTAATTATGTTGTCAATCAAATTTACACAAAAACTAATTACTGCAAAACCATTGCAGAGCTTGGCACAAAATGAAATAGAATCAGCTGCCTTGTGAGCAGTCACAGAACAGGGAGAAAAAAAGAGTGCATTTGATTCTTGTCCTATTTGTGGATAAACAAGACTTAAGAGATATGGGTGAAAGTCTGTAAACAAAGACATTGTTGTCTTGACTCCAAAAACTATGCTCACAGCAACTTCCACAATTAAAACGTCACCAAAAAACCACGTCAGCAATGTCATACAATGTCCTTCTTGTTAACTCACCAGTTTAATGTGCATGCTTTCTACAGAGTAACCTTTACTTTGGAGCACCAAGGCAGGACACTCATGGTGTTTAATGCACCACTGACTGCATCAGTAATTCCACATCGACACACGTAAAGCTTAGACGAAGTGATAAGAAGGGAGAGAAACTGAAGGTGTGATGGTGATGAAATTGTCTTCAAAGTAGGTTTTAAGTGTAAAGGATGGTGGTATGATCTGAAGCTTTATGCTGCATATTACTGCAAATCCTGACAGTAGTGAGGAACACAACAAGCTTAAGAGAGAGAAAGAGAGCAAACCTGCCCCATCAATGAAAAACCTAGAGGGGGAGGGGAACCGGAAGGATGGAGAAGGACAGAGAGGAGAGTTGTTTCAGGATGGGAGGGGTAGAGAACAAGTGGAGAGAGGGCGAGAGAACAAGATAGAGACTCAGGAGAAACAAAGCTAAATGTTCCCTTTTCTATTTTAGTGAGGAGCATGGGGACTAGAGCAGGTACTACAGCGATCCAGTTAATGATTAGAGTGGAACTGCACAAAGATTAATCTCTCCAGCATGGCTACCGTGCCAGAGCAGCTCTCTCTGTAGGTGCATTCTGGCTACCCAAAATGCCACAGTAATGACACCTGGCAAGGTCACCGTACAAATGAGACCTTCCCATGACCCATGCTGCCCGTAGCATGGACATGTTTGCTCTCACTGACGCCGTTTAGAGATAAACATCCACCTGCCAGACTTTAGGGTTTCATATACACACAGCACCCTCCGGGTAGCAAGGCCAAGCCATGCATTCACCCACAAATATGCAAAAATACATGCACACCTGCTTATCTAAATGTTTAGCTGAATGACTTGCACATAAATTACTCAGGGATTAAGTCCCCTGATGTATGAATGAACCTCATTCACACTGTTTTATTTTAGACATACATGTACAGAGGACAATGAAGTAAGAACAGAACATTAATACAACTATTCTAAATTAATAAGGTAAATTAAGCTGTAGGAATGGCTGCAAACTGTACACAGTATCTGTCTCCAATGCTAATGATGAATGGGAAAAGCTACAGGACCTTTGAAACTCATACTCACAGGGCATATAGCAGAGAGCTAGTATTGTTTTCAGTACATTATGAATATGAAAGAAGCGAATTTCTGATGACGAATGAATTTTGTTTTGTTATCAGTGAAGGAAAAAAAATCCAACTAAACACAAGTGCAGCTTCATGTTGGGTGACTGTTCAGTCTCGTTCTGCTTGTTGTGACTGAATTTAAAGTTATCTTTAATTATTTAAGTGTAATACGGTATGTACATTGAGTGTTTAATCTAGAACAGGAGTGTAGCTAACACTGGCGCGAGTACCAAAACAGAGACACACTTTATATTTACATATAAATAGTATTGGGCATTTACACTGGAAATAGGGCAACTTTGCCATTTAACGCGTCAGCCTTTAATACCGTGTCGCACTTAAACTAGGTCGCTACATTATATATCATAAGCCAGTTAGGATAACAAAGTGGCTAGCCGGAGACAACGAAACCAATGCAACACCACACGGTAGCAGATGGAAGTCCGTATTTAAATATCAAACTAAGGTCGCTATAGTAAACTACAATATTTAGATGCACCGTAGCGCATATAACATATCGACAGCTTAATACGTATGACAGCAACCTTAAACACATACATTTAGCACTAGTAGCTAGCGTTATGGTGGTGGTCACTGTTGAAAGGGACTTCGGGCTAACGTTAGTGAAGTTAATGTTAGCTTGTAGGACATGCACACTGGTGACTGTTGTACAGCACAGGTGACCATCCGCAGTGTGTGTAATTTTAATCACCACTGGACAACGAGTCCTGCTATCAAATGAAAGTTTGCAAAGCTTTCCAAAGCTAGGAAGAAGCAGTCTAACCAATAAAGACAACGTTTGGATCTGTCCTTCAGACCAATCAAACCTCGGACTAGATTCCACCAATCAAGGTTTTTAGGGCTAAGTTCGTTCTGCAACTGACGCCATTCGGGGCCCAGTAGAAATGGCCAGTCCGTTTGACAATCACTGAGACAAGAGCCAACATGGCGGACAAAGAGCATCAGTTTCCTGACCGCCCGTGATCCCTTCAGCGGGCCACCAATAAGCGCCTCAGAGAGCGGGGAGGGAAATGGCGCCTATGTTCATCTTCCAAAACAATCGTCTATTGGTCAAGAACGGCAAATGAAAAAAGTGAACTAATTGCCCCTACTTCCACCCAACACGCACCCCTTTCTTGTAAACGTTCCACGCACAAAACGAATTTTAATTTCTTACTCACTTTGTTTTACGGGTTCGAAGTGAAGTCCTGCTCAGCGTATTATTTATTTTATTTAGCTAGCAAGGGGAAACAAGATGGCTGCTATTCGAACCGGAAAGAGTTGGACGCACGTACGCGATGACGTAACTGTTACGCTCCCTGACCGACACCGTCTATCTCCATCCATGCTTTATTAAATTCGCTAAATTGAAAGGGGTTTATGGGTTTTATCAAACTATTTATTCCTCAAGTATTATTGGTCCCAGTGAGACATAAGTGAACTGATAAAAACTACAATGAATCCAATTCCAATGTGGCAGTTAACGTGGTCGGTATATACAACTATTGTACTTATATTATTATTATTAATAATAATAATTATTATTATTATCAATAATAATAATAATAATACAGATTCAGTGCCATAATGTTTTTTCATTAAATTCCTACATCTGAGCACATTATAAATGCCTGCATTATACTGTCTAAAAATATTAGATCTTTTCATCTCGTTTCAGCTACATTAAGTTGAATTTAATTAAATGTGCTGTACAGGTCAAGACTAATATAGTATAAATCTATAACAGTTAAACTGCGGATGATAATAGTAATTTAAAGATCTGAAAGACATGACAGCTGCAGTAGACAAATGTTTTAATGTTTACATAAACAATCAGACTTGAAAATTTTGAAAAGAACCAAATTCACAAAAGTCTAAGGCAAATAATCTAATTAAAAAAAAAAAAAGTGGAAGGAAATTTAACAACAAATAATATTTTCACAAAGTATTCTATTAAGTATTGATCTATAGAAATATACTGGATGATTATTTCCTTGCCACAAGTTCAAGGAGGGTGGAGGTTATTTTGTCCAGGTTCTTGGAGTATTGAGGGCCCCTGTGCATCCTGGGATTTTGTTCCATGTGTAGGGAAGGTGAAGAAGAGTGGGAGTCAAAATACTCCTCAGCAGGTCGGTAGTCACGAGGGTGCATGGGTTCTTGAAACCTTTCAGCATAATGTCCTGGGTCATCTGGATGGGTAGCATGTGGTGTCCGAGAAATTTCAGAGCACCCAAAAGAAAAGAAAAGAAAAACATTAGAAGAACTTAAACATAAAATGAAACGGAAGTGGAAAATAAATAATTATTTTTGACAGCAGGAATCAGAATATGTAGCTTACTGTACATCAAAAGATACATTTATCATAAAATCACAAGATGAACTTAAACAATTACACACACTTCACACACTGCCTCCAGAATTATTGTGCATAACAGAAAGTAACAAATTTCACGGTTCTTCCATACAATACTTTTAATGAGGACTAGTTTGTCAAATATGACCAAATATAACCAATTGACAACTTATTGAGGTATTCAAGAACTGACACATTCATGCTTATATTAATGTTACATTTCAGCATATAGAAAATCATTCATGTGAAGCTAAACAGTTTGCACAGTTATATTACCTTCATAACGGCTTCTATTTGTGTGTCTGTGTTCCCTGTGTACAGGGCGGTGGTATTCTTGCAGCTGTTCATCAGGTATATACTCATGCTGCTTCCAGCCTCGTCCTCTGTGATCATCTTTGAAACAAAAGTCTTGTGGTTGTCTGAGGTCTAAATCTTCTCTGAGGGTTCTTTCATACTTTTGTTGTGGAGACAGCTGCAGGTCCGGCTTTAAGCTGTTGTAATTGTTGTTGAGGGCTGCTCCACCTTGGCTATTTTGCTACAATAACAAACAGATTCTTCTTTAGTTCATTTCTGCAGTTTTGCAGTGACAGAATTAAAGTGCATGTTCATTAGGAAGACTGGCCCCGTGAATGGTGACACATACCACAGCCTTCTCTGATTTTTTGGTCTTGAATTCTCTCAGAAGGCTGCAAAGTTTGTTCTTCAGGAAGTCAGCTTCTTCCGCATTCTCAATTTCAATGCTTTTCTTGAGGGTGAAAAAGTGACAAGGGAAAAAGACATAGTTAAGATCCTCCAATCTATGAAAGGCCACATAGCAGACACCTCTCCGCTGTGTGTGTTGCAAATACTAATTCGTGATCTTACCAGCATATCAAAGACACCCTCTGATCCAGAGCCTCCTTTTTGGTAGATTTGAGTATGATGTGGGCTCTAAAAGCAACATTTGACATAAATTACACTAAATAAGTGAGTACATGTTTTTGATTACTGTAGTTAGAAGTATAAAATATTGGTAGGATACAATTCATCAGAATAGCTTAATTTTACAACAATCTACCTGTGATTCTGTGTAGCGGTCAGGATGTTGTGTTCCATGGGTTTCAGGTCTCAATTGTACACTAACTGGTCTAGGATGACCACCAAACTTTGGATTTGGAGGTCCATATTCATCACTGAACCTTAGAGAAGAAATCATGTGCAGAAAAGTAATGTATGGAGTTGAAAACACAAACCGTTCAGCCAAATAATATAAATGATTCACATTTCTAAGGCTTTACAGGTAAATGACTGGGGACAGCATCACTCACATCTCCTTCGTCATTTCCACCTCCTCTGCAGTGGCATCAGAGAAGCGGCTTTTTCTTTTTCTTTTACCATGTCCTTCATCATTAGTGGCCCCGGTCAGAAAGCGCCTGAATGGCTCTGGGATGCCAGACATGGTCCTGGTAACTTCCACTCGTCTCTGCGAGTAAGGGGCTCCTGTTCTGCTTAGCCCAGGGTTAGAGACTGCCACCTCTTCATGTGGTTCTCTCATTTTGTGCTGATAATCTTTGATAATATTAAATAAATGATCGTGCGCTTGGTCATTCTCAATAGGTGTGGGAAAGCTCCTCCTCTTGGCCTCTGGTTCACTCGATCCCTGCCTTCTTTCTCTGTTCATACTGTCTGGGTACAACGGCTGTGCGGGCTGATACTCAGAACGAACTCGCCTGCGCCGAACTTCCTCAGAGTAGAACTCCTTCAGAGGATCTCTTTCTGTGTAGGGTGCTCTGTTAGGAGGAGCCTCTTCTGGGTAAAACTCTACATGCTGAATCTGGCCATGGGGCATTGGCATCTCCTCCCTAGGATCATACCTGGTAACTCCACCTGGCTCAAGTGTGGCTCTTCTTTGTAGATCTTCAACATATTCCTCTTTATATTCCCTACAATTATCAGTGCCCATATATTCTCTGCATGTATTATTTTCCCTGTAATCTGCCCTGTGCAGGTCTTCTTCCGTGTAGTCACGACTGAGACTGTCCTCCCGTTGGAACATCTGTCTGTCTCTGTTCATGTAAGGTTCATCTGGGTGGAATGGGGGTATATCAGGGTAAACTGGGGGATGTCTCCCTCGATGAGAGTACTTATCCTCATAGTCCTTGAGGTCTGGTAAGTGTGTTGGTACATCTTGTGTCCAACTCTGTGCGTTATTCCGGTCCCTATTTTGCTTCTGCCTTGGGGGAACTATGGAACAGAAGTAAACATACAGTTCAAGTAAAAAATAACTTATTATACTCATTTGCATAGTTATTAGAAATAGCTCCTTGACTGCTGCAGTGGCCCTCAACCATATGCTACATGCAGTGACTCAAACTTTTCAACCACAGGTGAAATTAGATCAAAGTATTCTTCTGATTTATAGTAGTGGTTAGTTATTAAATTTAATATTGCTTGTATGATCTGTTTTTTAATTAGAATGTATTATATTAGATTCCCTGAAAAACATTAAAGGTATGTCATAAATTTAGAGGATAGGTTCACAAATTTTTAGGTCTGTCTTAAAAGTAATCGGGTACTAAGGACAAAAGCAATGGTTCACCTACGTTCTAGCCTTTTTAATACAAAAATGGATATGAATATGAACGTACCTTTTGAAATGTTTAACTTGCCTTCAGTCCCTCTTTTGGCCATTGGCTGAAACACAAAAAAAGTAAATACAGAGAACGTACATATTACTCTCCAAAATAATTTGCAATTATAAAAACACATATTTAATAATATTCAAAATGTCTGATTACGGAAATCTGTATGTCTCACATTTGGATTCCCTCGCCCATCCTGTCTCTCTATTATTTCTGCTCTGGCTCGTATGATCTTTCCTCCTTGGGTTATTATGGATTGTTTATCCCAGGTCACCAAGTCTGGCCGTTTCAATTCCTACATAAACACAAAAGTAAGACAGTCTCATTTTCTTTCATCCTCTGAATTAAAAAGCAAAGCAAACACTCAAAAAGTTCAACTAGAGTTTTCTGAAATTGTTCACAGTGCTTTACCACATATTTCTGTCGGTGTTTACGTCCAATCACATGGTGGACCATTTCTGGTAGGTTTGTAGTCAGATGACATAGCCTACATAAGTATCTGGGGCCTGAGTATTGGTCATTACCAGGGGCTTCATCCAAATAGCTCAAACCTAAGACAAAAAAAAGCAGAAAAAAGTTAATACGGATCAAATTAAAATGGAAAAAAAAAAATTGTATCAGGGTATTCACCAATGATGGGTTCATCAAGCTTCAAGTAATCCAGATATTGTAGAATGTCCTTAAATTCGGGTATGGTGTGTTGTCTGACTGCAAGCCCTAAGAAACCAAGACACTGGTAGTTAGCAACAGGAAAATATTACAACAGAGAGGATTTTAAAGGTCATAAGGTATTGTATGTACAGTGCATGTTTTAAACATAAGTGCAGAATGCATTTACCGTGTTGTTGAACTGACATCATATATCATGTGTAAGACGGACTCACTTTGCCTGTTAGTTCACAGTATACTAGTGCAATGTTCCTTATCTTTAATGCACTTCCTAATTTTTTTATGTATTTGTAATGTAACTTATTTTAGGTATAGCTACAACCCACTGCGTCTTCTTCAGATACATGACGATTTCCACTGGTACAGCGTTTCACTTCAGTTCAAATTCTGCTTTACTTACACCAACACGAAAGTCATCTCTTTGAAACAAACATGGGATGCAATCTTCTGTTATCGTTATGTTGCTGTGCAATAGTCTTCAGGTAAAGAAATGTTGACAAAGATGATTTTATGGAATACAAAAACTTACTTTGCAAGAAAGTGAGACACTACAGCCTTGGCCTCCTGTGATGGCCATCTTATAAAATAAAAAAGTAGAGAGGAGAGTAGAGGAAAATGGTTTTTCCTCTATGATTTTTTGTCAGGTAACTCTTGAACATGCTTCTTCAGGCTGCATGTTAGCGAGCGTGCACACCTTTGAACCCACCTCTTAACAGAAAGTTGGACCAAACAATCAGCTTGTTTGATGTGCAGGGATGCATAATATGTTGTTGACATTAAGTGTACCCATCAGCTCCTGTGCAAGCATCTGCAACCTGTGGTTACTTATAACAAACTTCTCTGCATAAACGTACAGAGATGTTTACTCGCATCTTTCATCATCTAATTCCGTAGCAAGTAACCAGCCGAGTCAGGATGATTGCAGCTGAGTGATGGTGCGCTCATTGATGTTCCAGCACCAAAACAACTGGATATGAGCCTGGTAGCCTCGTCAGTGTTCTACAGCTGGCAAATGCAAGAGCCTGTCAGTCCAAATTGAGCTCATTTTGAACAACACAATCGGTGACTTGACAGGACTATACAAGCTGTTTCACATCCAACTGGTAATGTTACAGAAGCCCAGCGTATATTATGGGATTACAGTAGAACACCCTGAACTGATTGATTTTGTGCAGCACATAAAAAGGAACGAGGAGTACACTGCCTTCACATCAGTCATTGAGGATTTTCACTCTTCCCAGCACGATTCAACTACCAAGAACAACTGTCACTCTGGCAATTGTAAAGATACACAGTGGAATGGCTGTTGTTCACTGTCAGAGAACGGAGATTTTGCTGACTTGAACGAGCAATCAGCTCCAGTTAGCGGCATTCGAGCTACCTTTGCCCAGTGTAACTGGGCCCGTTCTGACACATCATTTATTACAAGTGCAGCATTAGTCTGACAATCAGACGTGCTGGATTTATGCAGCTGTTGAGCCATAGACTCTATGTCAAGTGTGTGGACAACAGAACATTACACTTGTGTGATGTTCAACATCTCAGTCCAAAACCATGGGCATAAATCTGCTGCTATAGCAGCATCCGCTCTTCTCAAGAGGCTCTCCACAAGATTTTGGAACCTGGATTCAGCCACAAGAACATTAGTGAGTTCGGGGGCTGATGTTGGGCAATAAGGACGGCATCCCATTCACCCCAAACATGTTCAAGGGGATAAGGTCAGGGCTCTGTGCAGGCAAGTCTGAGGTTCCCCTTAATAGAAACTAAGGGGAAACCATGACATTTGTATACCTGCCTTTAAAGTGCTGGAACATATTTTTTCAATATAATATGATCCAGTCCAAACGATGACATGTTCTTTGATTTTTTTTTTGTTCAAAATCATTCTACGAGGATCACAACCATTGATGGAATAAAAATGTTGTCCATTAAAAAAGCAGACAACAGACTAGACTGACCTCCATTACCTTCACGTGAACAGACAGCAAATACACTCAAGGCCAGAATAGAAGAAGAAGATGAAGTCTACTTACCCGCAGCAACAAAGCCATCCTCTTTCTGCCAGGAATGAAAGGAGAGCAATAAAAATCAAGTCAATCAGTGCTGGGTAAACAGGACACTGGTTAGAGCTCACCACTGCTAAAAAAGAAAGGGTTATGTCATGGAACCAAACATTTTTTTAGCACTTTATTGTTAACCAAAACCACAGCTCACTTGAGGTGTAGTAAAGGTACATATGCTCACCTGTCTTCTTTTAAGTTTGACTTTTTTTTCATAACAAGTACATAAGGAAATAAAGAAGTTAAGGAGGAGGGAGCATGTCCTTCTGCACGTAGCTGCACCTAATAAGCCGCCTTACTAGGAGAAGATTATCGTAATAGTTGAAACCAAATTTAATGTGAAAATGGCTGTCTGTATGTAGAGAGATAGAGATAGAGAGATAAGCAGTGCCCAGTTTTCTTCAGCACAAACAAGAAGAGACATGAACTGATGTTCAAGCTTCATTCACACATGAACCCTGCTGGATTCAACTGTCTGTGTATGGTAAGGCCTCTCATTGTCAGACATAATGTAAAGCCTGTTCCCATAAGACATGATCCTCCCAGATGAAATAGGCCTCACAAGACATACAGGCCTTGTACCTCTGACCCGAGGTACTTATGTCTGCAACTCAAGACAAGCACGCATACCTACAGTTACTGTGGCTAGGCAGTGAGCTCTGCCAAAACACAGCTGACCATGCAGCAGTACTGTAGCTGAACGCATCCCGATGGACACCGTCTAAGGACTGAAGCTGCAACACGGCCAGTGTGGACAACATCTTCGCATCTGTGATGCTCAGTTGGTCGAAGTACGGTCCATGTTTATTCATTATCGGTCTTCTATGTCTAGCTTTCCAGCAGTATAAACTGGGAAAACATTGAGAGTGAAGTCAGTTGTCAGACTTGCCCACCAAAACATGAATCTTCAGAGTAGAAGGAATTTCTTGTGCTTCAGCCAATCCACTGTCGGCAGTCGGTGCTCTCAGAATAGGACAATATACTACAAACTGTTGAATGGGCTCATTGAACTGTTTGATGAAACTTCATGTGAGTCATGTGCAAGAACATTATTCACATGTGCTTGCCCTTGGTGTGTTGCAAGTTTTGGTCAAATCAAAAGCCATGGAATAAGATTTCCAGAAGGAGTTGGAAAACATATTTTTCCAAATGAAAAGAGAAAATTTCCAGAACATGTAAACCTTAAAGTGGACGTGGGACAGTGGCTTAAGTGGCTCGTCCATATGAAACAAACCGTGGAAAGGAGACCGAAAGAGATTTATGCAAAGCAGTTGTACAGCATGTTTTTCAAAAACATGAATCCCTACGATTCTTGTGTCGATCACAACTGTCCACATATGATGATGTCAGACAACATGAGGGAAACATAGACCAAGCCTTAAAAGTCAGTCTAATCCATTAAGATGTTGCCTACTCATGTGCCATAAACCAACTGCAGGATACAGTTGGGTACACCCCAAAGACACAGTAGTCATCCAGAATGACCTGGACTTTGTCTTCACGATGGTCAAAGACAAAAACTGGTAAGCATTCATTTTGCCTGTTTGCTTGTTGTTGTTAAAGAAGTGCCTGAACACTATAGTGCAAATGTAAATGTGCACAGAATTTCAGCTTCAAGCCTCAATCAGAAGAAATGTATAACACCTTTTTCCTGTTATTGTCACTGATCTGGAACTAACTGTACCACCAGATTATTCAGAACAGAAATAAGTAAGATACACAAGCAGACAGGCTGCAAAATACAAGAGAAATTAACCAACGGTCCACAGATGTTGTCAGCAACTTGGAAAGATAGTGACATATCACTTTGGGACGCCCCTTGTTTGCTGCTACGAGTTTTGGCTTGAACCTGTGGAAAACTTGTGACTGACTGTAAAGGACAATCAGCAGGTCAAATTAAAAAGACTAGTCACTGGAAAATTGCTCATTAATTTATCGGTCTAACAACTTGCTATTTTAGTTTAGTTAGTATGTTAATATTCGGCACAACTTTAAGACTGTATAGCTTTCTGCACCAATAAATGATGCTGTGTACCTTTATGTGCCCTGGTGTGGTCAGGTGAATCTTGTACAAGGTTTCTCCTCTTATGGATTTATCACAGACCTGGAGTAAAACAGAAAACCGTGATCAGTATCAGAGCTACATACAATGGTATAATAAACAGTCAGATGCCAGTGTATTGGGTAGACACGGCTTATATAAGACAGTCCTTAGCCTATACACCTAGCAATAAATGAGGTGGATAAAATCTCTACGTCAACAGCACCACAAACCACAATCTCAGCAATAACTAGTAGGTCGAATCCACATCTTAAGCTTTTTCAGCAGAAACTGATTATAGTCTTTATGAAGGACTGGCTTATGTTAGGTCTGATCTATTAAACCACATTAGGTATGACTAGTTAGCTTATTAACTAGCAACCGAGTGTAGACACTCGGTAAACGTTTGTGAAATCCATGCTGCAATTCTATCTTGAACCTTGCAGCCTTCATTAAGTGCAGCTAAGGGTAGCTAGCTTACCGTGCACTCAATAAATTCAGCCTCAACATCGTAAGGTGTTTCGAGCTTTTCCATTGTTGGACGTTTTACGACTAACAAGGAGTAAACGCCGACCTCTCATGAAACCGCTAGTAGCTTAGAAAACGTTTAATAGCTAGCGAACTTAACCAAGCCCATGAATACGTGAATGCTAGCAATTCGTAGTTTGCTAATAAATTAGTTTATGTTTGGTTTATAATATAGCGACATTTTACATTGCCTTCCACTAGTTACTTCCGTTTACAAAACTAGCTTGCTTCCTGTGGGTTTGTACAGTTGGCCCCAGGAAGCCCACATGAGTGGCGTCATCTTAATACCGCACCACCTCTGTTTTTTTTTTTTAATTGTTAAGGTGTAAGAAACGAGCGCACCTCGTAGAAAACAGTGGAAACGTTAATGGGCGTCCGTTTACGCCCCCTGTAGGACACGACCACAACTGAAATCAAATTCATTGTCATACACCACAGACAGGACTGCAAAGATTTATACATTTTCTGTTTATTTGGTTCTTAGAATAATTTGCTCCATAGTTACAAAAACAAACAGCTGCTTTTAAGCCTGGCTTTGGAAACTGGGGCACTTCTCGAGCTGTGTGAGGCATCAGCACAGCGTTCAGTAGATATAAGGATAAAACTATGAAACAATGTTATAGTTAACAAGACATCAGACTCCTTCACTCAGTATTTCCTTATCATGTAGGTATGGGCAACTACAAACATATCATTGTACAGAGGTAAATCAGTAATTTGTCTGAATGACCATGTCCAAGCCATGTTCACATGGAGAGAAATCATGAGCACTTAAAGGTACAACTCCATCATATTTACATGCAATTTAGAATATGTACACTTACCAATGATTTACACACCCCTCTCACAAAGAGGCTTTATGTAAATTATAATTACATGTTTGCTTTTAGGAACATGGTTTACTACTCAGCTTCAAATTATCCCAATGATTTCACAAGCACACCTTTCGCTTCAGAGGCCATTAAAAGAATGATCCCATTTTGAAAAACTGCAGCAGTAATCTACAACCAAGAGTGAGAAAGATAGAGTAAACTTAAGTTATGATAGCAATCCAAAATACTGAAAATCATTATGAATGATCAAACTAAAGGGATATTCTCTGGTGCATTATCTTAAGTCACTATAAATACAAAAATATTACACCAGCATCATCCATACCACTTTAAAGCTGTAAAAGTTAGATGGGCAGGGGCCAGAGCATGAGAGGCCTGTGTCTGATGATTATAAATCTTCATGTACAGTGTACCGATAACATACAGCACAAAGATATGAGCTCACAGACAGACAGAAAAAAGACATTTCTGTTAATAAAAGCCATGTGGATAAATAATCTGTTCAAGACAGCATGAGAACCATAGGTCACCATACAGGGACACACAGACACTTTCCAAAATCAAAAACAGAGGGCTATGGCAATGTTACTGATCAAATATCTAAGAGACAATGTTGAGATGTTTCAGTAGCAGGAGGGTCAGGTATAAGGTCAGGAGGTGAAACTTCAGTCAGTCTGAAGAGTTGTAGAGTCCTCCTGGAAGATTGTTCAGACGCGAACGCAGTTCCTTCCGGACCTGGGTCACCCTCGCCAGTTTACGTTTGTATTCCTGAAAAAGTGCACAGCAGAAAAGGTCTGTCAGAACAACAAGATCCTAAAGTGTCATTGCAATTTTTAGATTTTTTTTTTAAAGCCTCATCAGCAATTTTTTGGGAACACAACTTGTGGCAAGTAAACAGTGATAAGGACTAACATAATCAGAAAATTTAAATCAAGGATATGAAGATTGCATAAAAATAGAAATATTAGTAAATATCATGCTAACTTTGTACTGCATTCTACATTACAGAACGTGGTATTAGTTAGTTTACAAGTTTGGATTCCTGGCCAAAGAATTCCACCAAACATGTTTGTGTTGTCCCTTACAATTACTCTCATTTGAAAAACTGCCATATAAATGTAAAAAGGTTGTGTGAGCTTTTAACACATTCAAGTCTGTCCTCTTTCAAACTATTGAATGTAGGATGAGATTTAAAGATATCACATATCTCACTATATTTACCTCGGGTTTATGACTAACTTGTCTAACTTCTTGGTTTACTTTCACATACATCTATGAAACATCTGACAAGTCACTGAAAACTAAGAAAACTTAAGTATCTAAGGGTTTTTAACATCTTGATTTACAACAAAACAGCTGAAAAGGTATTATATCTAAAGGGCATGTTAGGGAGTGTATGAAATTTAGCGAGGGCCATGACAACACTTGAAACAGTCAGAAAATGAAAGAATTTCACCTAATTCATGTATATGCAATAATTTTAGCACCTTAAAAGATCAAGTGCAACTCAAATGTTTCATCTCTGCACCAGCTTGGTTGCACACATCACTTTTAAGCTGTTATTATATACGATTGTGGGACAGCTGATGCGTAGGTGTGTTGTGCAAGCAGAACACATTTTCTCAGGTCACAGGATGAAAAATATACACTTGTGTCTTTTCATTTGTGTCTATACCAAGATAACAAAAACTTGACATCTCTTTTCTCACATTTTTGGTTTGACCTGTTATAACGTGAGTTTCTCTCTATTTGCAACTTCTGTTGAATTTAGCTCAATTCAAAACCTAGAATGTGTAGCTAGCATTTACTGTGTCAATACCACAAAAAAAAGCTGTAAATACTGTTGTCATAGAACATCTTTGAAATTGAAAATTCAAACTGAACACACCACCAGGAGCTGCAAGTGTTAAAGCAAAATAAAAGCACTCACAAAATTATTTTGATTTTTTATTTTCAGTTTTTTTATTACAAGAGACTTGACTGAGTGAAGATACAAATATGAGATACTTTATCCTCTTGGTATCCTGTGAATAAAGGCTGGACAGTTATTGTCACCACAAAAAAGCATGGTTATAAGAAAACAAAATCTGCAGAGAAGTTTTTCTAGGTTAAAAGACTTCATCACACAGTATTTTGGTCGATACTCATCTTGTAGGAAGTGCGCTAAGTGAAGTGAGCTAACTAAAAAAGGCTCAAAGGACAAGCATTTCCCTGTGACAATAGGAAAATCTCACTTGGATGTGTGTATCTAATTAGGAATGTTTCCTGTTAGTAAAGCCAGAGGGTCTAACACTCATTGAAATCTGCAGTCTGGTTGAGTAACAAAACAGGCACACCGCAGATGTACTTACTGTATGAAACATGCTGAAATACATGAAAAGAAATGTTACTTCAAAACATGGGCAAACAAGACGTGTGAGCATGCAGCTACATAGAGAGATGAACACCAAGAATGAATATTAATGACATAAAGGCGAGGTGGACAAGACATACACAGATAAACTAATTGAAAGAAAGAAAAATGATTTACGCACTTCAAGTTTCTGTTCGTTCTGGGCCAAGCCGTCCTTCTGGCTTTGCAGGAAGACCGTTAGTGTGCGCGTGAGCTGCCTCCTATCATCTATTTCTGCTGCCAAGCGGCCACTGTAGTCTGCTAGCAGCATGCAGGCCTCCTCCACCAGCCGGGAGAGCCGCTCCCCTGATTCTTTATCTAAATCACATAGAGCATACAGAGAGCAGGGCACAATGCTTAACAATAACCAGTGTAGAGGGTTCAGCTAGAGGTCATTCAGTTATCTATCATTCCCGGTTAAGGTAAATAGCTACTGTGTAATCACTTGCAACTCAAACATTGTTTCCTATGATGGATTGAAGCATTTTTTGCCCTTTTTAATCACTCTAGTTTGAGTGTCCTGCTCAAGTGAACTTCAGTTTGTAGTGTTTGTCTGTTGAGATGAAGGCAAGGGAGCTGTCCTGTGTAGCCTTGCAAAATATCAAAATGGTTTAGATGGCTTTAACCAAATTTTTTTTTTTTTTTTTTAAATTTCAGTGAAAATAAATGTTTCCTTATCTAGAAAAATCATCCACTGTATATTAATCCGCAGTAAACTCGAATGCATGTACACTCAGCAAGCACTTTATTAGGAACACCTGTACATTTGCTTAATATCCTATCAGCCAGTCATGTGATAGCTGTGCAATGTATGAAATCATGCAGATACAGGTCAGGAGCTTCAGTTAATGTTCACATCAAACATCAGAATGGGGGAAATGTGATTTCAGTGACTGTGGCATGACTGTTGGTGCCAGACGGGCTGGTTGAGACAGACAGTCTCTAGAGTTTTACTCAGAATGGTGCGAAAAACCAAAAACATCCAGTGAGCAAAACTTCTGCGGAAAGAGGCGTCTTGTGGCTATGGTAACTCATAGGCATTCTTTACAACTGTGGTGAGATGAATCTGGTCAGATGAATCTGGATTTCTGCTGAGGCACAGAGATGGTCAACAGTCCAGTCTGGTGGTGGTGTAATGGTGTGGGGAATGCTTTCTTAGCACACTTTGGATCCCTTAATACCAATCATTCACTGTCAGAGCCTATCTGAGTATTGTTGGTGACAATGTGCATCCCTGTTTGGCCACAATTTACCATCTTCTAATGGCTACTTCCAGCATGACACCAGGTCACAAAGCAAGCTCCCCAGTCACCAAATCTGAATTCAGTAGAACATCTTTGGGATGTGGTAGAACCGGAGGTTGGTAGCATGAATGTGCAAATGACAAATCTGCAAAAATGCTGTGATGTAATCATGTCAATATGCACTAGAATATCAAAGGGACATTTCCAAAATCTTGTGTAATCCATGCCACAAAGAACTGAGGCTGTTTTAAATACAAACAGAGGCCCTATCGAGTATTCGTATGGTGTTCCTAATAAAGTGCTCCATGCCCGAGTGTATATACAGTACACAATAATGTGCTGTGTCCTGCCTCCCACCTGTGATCCTGTGAAGCAGTGACGTGTCCTGCACCTCAGCAGGAAGGGAAGAGATTCGCTGACGCAGCACTGAGTCGCCAGAGGCCGCATTTTCCAGCTCCTGCAGAGCTCGGATTAACTCTGCTGTCTGAGGTAGCAGGTGAAGCGAACAAAGGGAAGAGAAAAGTAAAAGAAGAGGGTATGGTAAATGACTAGTTAAGATTAAGTATGTGTCAAACATAAACATTTGATAGGTAGCAGAGAAAGGAAGTATCAAGACACACATCCATTCAGAAGCTGCTGTATCAACTGTAAAACGTATCATTAAATGATCTCTGTGGTTTACAGTATCATTTCATTAAAATCCTGTATTTATGGCTACACTGTTTGTCTAGAACAACACCTGTGGGGGCTCAGCTGGGGAGCTCTGAGAGGCAAAGTCTTCATCATCTGGTTGGATTTCTTCATATGACCTCTTCTTCGCCTTCTTTTCTCCATCTGGGATTTATAAGAAAAGAGCAGAAGGCAACAAAAAGCATTAGATAGAGAACTTAGTTTTCTAACTCAAATGAAATGGTGAACATTTTATGTAATGAATGAGAATGCAACTGCCCAATTTCAAAGTCACCAGTCACCGTCTTGCCACAAAGCAGATTAGCCATGGAGCATGTGTGTGTGTGTGTGTATTATATATATACACCTGAAATGTTAATGATCAAATTTAATCAAGTCAGGTTTAAAGCCACAGATTGGCAGGGTAAGCAGTCACATTAGCTTATTGTTGTGAGGAGCAAATTTGTAGACATGGTTGGGTGTTGAGCACTCCTACAAGCTATACCAGCAAAGGTTAGTATCAAATCAACTTACATAGTACTTGTGAGAGCTGATCCAGCAGGTTGTTCTCGTACACAGCTCTCTCCTGCCAGATGGACAAAACCCGACCCAACTGTTTCTTACAGCCTTCCTCGCCATCTCTGGACAGGAACATAGTACATTACAGACATGCACACTTTAAAACAGCTTTGTTTTAATGGCTCTTTAATGTCAATATGCCATACATATTGCATGCATGGTAATATCATTTTCAGTTGCTATTCGTAAGAACTTCAGAAATTATTCTTGGAGAAATCTGGCCTAGCAATTTCCTGGTTCATTTTAGAAAAACACAATTTTCTATAACAATTCAATAATTTAAAAAAAATGAACCAGTGAGCAAAACAAACAAACCTATCACTGAATCCTAAAAAAGGTGACTCAGCAACACATGTTGTTAAAATATTAATGTTGAATCTGACCTGTATACATGTTTGAATGCATCAATGATGATCGGTGCAAAGTCCTGGGTGAACTCTGGTCCTTTTTTCTTGCTGTTCTGAATGACATCATTGGCCAAGTAAAGGAAGGTCAACTTGCGTGACACCTGAGCTGCAAGCATTCAGATGTAGACACACATTACTATGGAGCATTTGGTTATGATATACGAGACTGAACCTTAGGCTGAGCAACACGTTGATAGGTTTCAATGCATAAAATTTGTTTCTGGGGTAACATAGCATAATCTTAATTATAACAATCTATTAATTGACCTACTAAAAATAAACATTACTGATTTCATTTCAATCAGTGAGATGATTAGAAGAAAGAGATACCAAACTATTAATACAATGCCATGTTTTTCCCAATAAGCCAGACCACGATGCGAATAGGGTTGATCTTTTCTATTTATCAAAGACAGCAAATCACCTCACTGGAATTATTCATGACTAAGAGCAAAATCTATAAAGTAACAACCACTTAGTCAGTTCATTCTTCACTATAACTTAATTGAAGCCTCAAGGACTGGAAGATTTAAAAATTTAATGTCACAGATACTTTTTCTTTAATTTTTTCCTCTAATTTTACAGCTTGTTTTGTATATCTTCTCCCACTGTATTTTATCCACCAGCAAGTACTTTGTGGAACATTGACAACATACATGTAATAATTCATATGTCTGTTGTTTTTGGACAGGTCACAGTCAACAGTGAGCTAAGCTTAAAGCTCCAGAGAAATGTGCCATCTCTATCCCCATTGCTATTAACACTGCACACTCCTTTCAGTCCTCAGACAGTCCTCCTAAAATACAACATCCACTTGAGATATCATTAGGTTGTTGAGTAGCACCCCAAGGGAAAGTGTGCCTGTATTAGCTACAACTACAGCAACACCTAATGTCCATACAACAGGCTTTTTAATACTAATTCCAAAAAATATTCTGAACAGCTCAATTACGTACTTGTATCATAACTGCATCTAGTCAATAAATTTAGAGCCAGCATGTACTGTTAATCAGTAATAAATGGCAGGTTAGTGAACCTTCCATCTGACACACCTTGAATGGCACCTTAATACAAAGACACTTAAAAAAAAAAAAAAACACAAGCCACCCCTTACGTTTAGTTACACATTCTGTATAATTTTTTGCTGTGAAAGACAGTGTGACACATGATGTTTTATGAACCTGTGGTGATAATGACCCAAAAATTCAAAATAAAATTCAAATAAGCCAAAAATACATTTACATATTAATAACATAACTACCATAGCAAATCAGAGGTTACAATGCGTTTATTATTCGGTGTATGTCAAAAAAAGCTGTAAAATAGTTTGTTGTTATCATAGTGGTGTCTTAACTGCTTGACGGAGTTATGCATTTACATAAACCAAAATCATAAGATTTTAATACTGTCAAAGATAAAGTATCAGTCACAGTACAACTTTAGTAAACAATAATATAGTTTATATCACTCCTTCTGATGCCATCGACTCGCTCCACCTTAAAGTATTTCAGACTGATTTTGACCATAAAGTATTTTGCATCCATAAAGTTTCAGTGGACATATTTTAGTATGCTTGTGCTACTGCAAGAAGGAGAGGGAAAGAGGGAACAAAATTATGAAAAAGAAATGATTGAGAGGCCACTATTGGCCCAGCTAAAACTCCCAGGAGAAATGTAAATCCATCCCAGCAACTACACACGGCAGTAGTAGCATGAGTAGCCCTAGCCAACTTTTAACATTTAAGTTTAAGTTATCGATAGTCCTGATCCAGGCCCGTCAAGCTACCCTAGTGACCCATTAATATCTGGTATTCAGTGTTCATTGAGTTCATTAAAAGTGGAACATTAAAAGTGTTAAAATCGTTTGAGGAAAGGTGAACTTCTCAGCTCTCAATGAGGAGAAAATAGGAGAATTTAAAATGACAGCACAACTAAGTCTTTAATAAAAGTTAGTACGATTCATAAAATCCATAAAGGAGCATAATTAGTTCCTTGTTCATTATTATTCCTCTCACAAATTCATACTTTATACCTTTATCATTTGTTTGTCAAAGCTGAATTAAGTGATTTCTTGGGCACTTGGGGGCAGTAGAACAAGCAGTAAACCACAGTGACCTTCTACAGTTGCTATATTACCATTCAGTCTTGATGCTCAGTTTTGGTCTCCACTATCTCTAGAGCAAAATATCTAGATTTCAAGCTGCTTAATACTAAATGATAACTTTGTCAGACTGCCATTTGGTGCTGGACAAGTAGCATACAGTGGAACTATTGGATATTTACCTCTGAAAACAGCGGTTTTTTGTCAGGACAAAACAAAAACGATGAGTTGAAAGAAGCTAAAACGCCCTGTGGAGCTCAGAGTAACTGCTAAGTTGGGTGATAATTCTCTGTGGGTTCATCACTATAAGCAACCACTTTCAATTTACACATGACCATTCGTTCAATTGTTAAGATATATATGTATTTTTTATTACTACAGCTTTAAGGAATTCAGCTTAATGTGAATTTAATATCTGCACTGTGGGGGTCAACTTCAATAGCTTCAGGACACAGTTAGTATGACGGTCTTGCATCAGGGCTAAACAATTTAGGGACTCATTTACCAAGGCTAACGATGTATAAATTTAGAAAGCCACGGCGTCAATGTGCAGCGTCTGAACTAGTCTAAACATGGCTGTAACAAAAACAAACCAGCGTTAGGTAGATAACGTGGTCAAATGCTAGGTTAGCCTTACTGTTAGACAATGCTGGTGAGTTAAATCCCTTTCAACTGGTATTGCACGAAAGTTGGCTAGCGTTAGCAATTGCTGTGCTAACAACGATCCGTTGTTTAACACGTTTGGTGAAATTTCTAATAACGAAATAGCCAAAGTTAGCCAGCTCCTGTAGACAGAAGCTACATCTAACTTGTATAAGCATGTTAGCTGTCTTTTATTACGATGAACTAGCTAGCTTATGTCATTCTTACCTTTTTTTAGTTCGTTGAACCAAACGTTGACAATGGTCTTCGAGTGTTTTCTATGATGAATGAGCCACAACGACAACGTCTGCACACTTTGCTGAGAGTTACTAAGCTCGGACAGTTTCTTTTCTAAAGCCGCCTCAGAGAAAGCTGACATATCGACGAGATTAGGGGAGTGTGAGAAACTGGGAGAGGCAGCTTCAAGGTTCCTCCCAGATGTATTTATCTACAGTTAACCAGTCACTACTAGAATTTTAGCCATCCAAATTAAATGCCATACGGTACCTTTCCTATGGTAGAGACAAGGAATTTATGCTAACTAGCTACCGCCGTCGTCTAGGTAGTGTTAAAGGGGGGTTGCCTCGCTGGCTTTGCTTAGGACAAACCACAGCAGTCTGCAAGAGGCGCATCCGTTACGACAGCTATGTTGCGTTCAAGTCAGATGGAAATAATAGCACCTATTACGAAAATTTGCCCGGCTGATATATATGACGAAGCATTCGCTCTCATGTCATATATTTCGCATGTAGGTCATACTTTTCTGTTAATCAGATGACTTATTTGACCGCAACTGATAGGACCTGGCAGTCTCTGTAAAAGTAGAAACATGAAATAAATTTTCCAATGTATGTATGTTTATTGTAGGGTTATCGCTGACGGAAGTTCTGTAGACTAACGCACACTGACAATCAAATCTCTCCAACAATCCACTTTCAACATCCTTCATAATGTTCACTTTTATTTCTACCTTAAATCTGGCTGACACATCCATGAAAACATTTTATCATACAAAATAATCCGATAAAGTGAAAGGGGACAAAGCTGAATACTGATCTCAATAGATTTAGGGAAGGAGGACAACATACATATATTGACCCATGGATGTTGATCTGTTGCTTCTGACATATAATATAACTAATTTACCTGTGAATTTGTGAAGTTTTGTGTATGGACTGGAAAAGCTGCAAAAATAATTACCTCTCTTGGGATTAATAAAGTTGTCTGATTCTGAATCTGACACAATTCAACCTCTTAAATGAGGAAACTAAGACATTTGCAAGTTTACAAAACATATTTATTATGCACCACATCATTAGGCAGTTGCATTGTTATACCAGCTGATAACAAGCCTTTGGACATTCAATGTTTTATAGCCTTACATTGTTAGTGTGATGTATTCATCACTTACATCATTTCCCAAATCTGTTTTATAGCAACCTAGTGTATCCCTGCTGAGTGATCATCCGTTAATTGGATTTTTATAAAGTTAACACTGCTGAGTTAACCTTGTATTGAATGGCAATTCTTTAAGTACTTTTACATTGGTCATGGTATGTCAGAATCTTCAAGTGCAGTTTCCTTTTTATGATGGAATCAGTGGAGCATTAGAAGACATGGACATACAGAGCCATGTTTGGTCAAAGTTTAAGAGGGCTCTGCTGAGACTGGAAACTTAAGTACAACAAACTCCAACAAAGTAACTGTATTAAAGGCACCTTACAATATCGCCTTGCACTGAAACTAAAATTCACTACTCAAAAACTAAAAAGAACTTTACAGTCTATGCTCAAAGACATGTGTACTCCAACTAACAAAGAAATCTATAGTCAGTCTATATACAGTCAACATAAATACACCGTCTTTAGTGCTGCACACAATCAGAAAAAGGGGTAAAATCATCCAAATAACCTCAGCAGTGCTTTATTCAGTAACAACTGGTTAAGCAGCACATCTGACATTTCATGACAAATTCTCTGAGTTAGTCAGGCTCAGGTTATACATATGTGCAGTCGCATTGGCACAATGGTCAAAAAGAAACAGAACATGTAGCAGTTAAATTCATTTAGTGACAACCACAAACCATAGTCTATGTGATTTGAAACTATGACAGCCAGCTGCTATACAGCCTTTGATGCTCAATATTAAAGAATGTTTCTCACCCTCACTTGGTTAGAACGCATGTGAACCTAGAAATATATCAATAAACTTCAGCACCTTTCACTTTAGATGATATCAATATCTCCAATTCTGCCTGTGATATTGAGTCACTTACAATTCTCATAAGAATAACATAGGCTATCATTATAAATATCTATAATTTCAGACAGCACTAGGTTTTGTTTTTAATGTAACCAGATAATATAACGGCTACAATTTCACCTAAAACACTTCTAAACATGTCAAAGAAAATGTCACAATCTAGACTTATTTCATGTTGATGGTCCAAAGTCCAATCTGTTTTTAGATTTCCATTAATGCAAAATCTCCTGTCAGTTTCATTAAGAAAAAAAAACCTCATACAAAATAATGCTGAAAGTGAAAGGGGACAAAGCTGAATACTGATCTCAGAGGCTTTAACAGTTCTCTCACTACAGGCAAAACATATCTTCATTAATTAATACCCATTACTGACAGAAACAAGATACATTTGTTTTAAATGAACATAATCTCATGCTGGACCATCTAAGTGTGATTTCATTCAATGGGGACACCACTCCATTGAGTAGAACTGTGGTCTCCATAAGGTGTGGCAATGTATGCTGAATTAAAATTGGGATATGCACACATAAATGGAGTTGTTCTATCTACACTTTTTGAAATCATCAAACCTGGCAACCCTGTGTCTCTGAAATTGGGATCAGAGTAGGTTCCATAACACAGAGCTTGCACAGGTGGGATAAAAGCATTCGATTGGGACATACCCCCACCACAACCACCGCTGCTGCTGCTGCTGCCTGGATGTGGAAAGTGATGGTCAGGATTTGCCTTAGGTACATGACTATAATTGGGGTTAGGCATTACCCCATGGCCTCTGTAGATGGTTTGATAGGCCAAAGGTTGCATCCTATAACTTTGTGGAGTTGTCTGGAGATGGTTGGCAGTGAACTCCATGTATGTTTGCAGTTGTCCCTGTTCAGTCTCAAGAAACTGTACCCTAGGCTGAGGTGCACTGCTGCCACTGTGAGCAAGGAAATCTAACTGAGGATACATTTTGATCCCAGCAGCATCTAAACAAGATGATTCACCAGATAAACCATGTTGCTCCACATCGACTGTCAGAAGACTTGTATGATCTGCTGCCATGTACTGGTTTTGGGGCTGTTGTTTGTAATAACATTGGGCAGAACCTGAGCTCATCTCCTGTCTCTCTTCTCTTGGCACTTCCCCTCTTGTACCAACCTTACTCTGTGAAGCAGAATTGTACCACTGCACAGCGTAACCCTCCTCAGGTCTGTAGGAAGAATTATAAGATGACCAGTCCTGAATGTGGGACACAGCATGCAGCAACTCCTCGTTTTGTTTCTGTAGGCCTTCATTTTTAAACTCTTCAGTGAAGTTCATACTTGATGTTTCTTGAGAACCATGCTGTCTGTCATAATTCCTCTCCCCATAAACCTTTTGGTCATTTTTCCAAGTTATGTCTTCAGACTGGCTGGAGTCTTCATTAATACTGAAGGAACCATCCACCTCTTGATACCGAGTGCCTGTGAAGATTCTCTCTGGTCCCTTGTATTGATCAGCCTCTGCATCTCCACTATAGAGGTGTTGCTGAAGTTGTGAGTTTGTACACATTGCGGTGTGTTCATTGTTAAGTGCAAATGATCCAATGTCATAGTCCAACTCACAGTCCTCTGTCTGGGACTCTGGCGGTGGAATGAGGTCTGAGGCCGATGAATGCGAATATGACATAGGGAGGCTGTCCTCACTGAAAGACATCCTCGCCAGCAGCACTGAACCTTTGGTCAGAGGCAGGCTTACCTTGAACACAGTATTTGCCACCTTCTTCATCTTCCTCTTTTTTGCCTTCCTTTTTGCCCATTTTGACAGCACTACAGTACGTTTCTCTGGCATGCCTTCAACCGAGGTATTGTTTATGCTTGGCCCTAAGCAAAAAAGTACAAATCAGACACAGAGAGGTTGAAAAGCAACATGAAATTACACAAAAATATTTCCTTATAGACTGAACAAAGTTTTGCCGCCCTTCAAGTGAAGAGTAGCTTCCGAGAACACACACACCTTTGACAGTTATTTTGCTTTTTTGGGTGCTAGTTTGTGTCCATCCATTACATAGCATCTTTATACCTGGAAATGAATAAAAGCAATACACAGGTATGCAAAGAAAAAATATAAATGTAAGTCTTTGCAATGAAAGACACATTGGCTGTTAAGGAGCTTAAAGAGAACAAAGAATGAAGAAGATAAAAATGGGTGAATAATACAATAGATAAAAAAATATAAGTTGCACTTAGCCTCTTTAACCTCAAAATTATAAATGCATATCACCACACATGATCTTGCAAGCAAAACTCACTTCCTACACAGTAAAAGGTGGCTGCAAAAGAGAACAGAGGCCTTGGTGGATTTATGGTGGTTACTGCGAGCATTTTTTTTTTTTGCAGTGAGCATTTCAAACTCCTTGTGGAGTATCACTTTTATGCACAGCATATAGTATAACGCCACCTCTTCAAGATATGAAACCAAGAGTGATAATGTGCAGGGACAGAGTAAAATACAGGTTGTACTTACATCATTAGTCACTCCTCAAGAGGAGAGAGTTGGGTTTAAAGAGGTCAATTGTTTATGGCCGAACAAAAAACATGAATCTGTACTTACACCAGTGGTAACTTTTGCCAGTCAGTGGGGTACAGAGTGACTCTGGTACATTTATCACCTGGAAATATAAGATGTTTGAAAACTGATGGACAGAAAATTTTAAGTGAAGACCTTCTTGGTGAAAGGCATATGAGTCATTTATACCTAGAATAACCAAAGCAGGATAAGCTGTGCATAAAAGTAAATATGATACCTTCAGTTCTCCTCTGCCCTCCTCTTGCTCCACTTTCCTGGCCAGTGATTGGATTAACTGACTGTTGTCATTAATATCTGCTGTCACTGCATCCACCTGCTCAGGATGTTTTTCCATCTACACAGAGATGTTTTCAGTGAACTTAAAACTTACTCCTAGCATGTACTTTACAGATTTTGCTGTTCTGTTTATTTCAATTATTGATAGATAATAAACTGACCAAGTAGTTAAGGAGATGGGAAGAGCTGGTTACGTGATCAATGATGTCCTTTTTGTTGGATCTTATGCGACAGCAGTGGCATAAAAAAACGTGCGTGCGGCCATCTTCACTCCTACACTCAACCACACGGAAAAGACCTGTTGTAAACATATACAAGCAGCATTTTATTAAATAAATAATTGTTTGACACTTTGAAATAGGCTTTTTTTCTTCTCTACCCAAAAGGTAAAATAAAAATTCACAATTTCTTTGCCAGGAGCAGAATACGCATACTTCCCAAAATGTATGTAACTATTTCTTTAGATGCTCTATTATGTATTCAGTAGCACTCAGTAGTACAGTTCTCACCAGATAATCCACTATGAACTTCTCATGTCCCGTAAGTTTAATTTAATTTTCATTTAATTTTAGAATATTCCTAACAGATTCAGTGCATTATAACAATCAGTAATGCAGAGCTGTCTTAAACCACAACCTAATTTTTCAATCAATGTTTAAATAGATTTTCTGGAACTTCAGCATACACTGTTGCTATTCTTGATCTGTGCTCACCAATAAGAGGCTTGGTTCCTGTGTAGCCATCAAGAAAGTTGTTGCTGTTCTCTGATAGAGCAGAGAGTTCGGGTGACATCTGAGTATTGTATACTTGTGATGCTGAGATGTTTTTTAACCCGCCTTCAGACTTGACAGGAGGAGCTACAGTAGACTGCATCAAAGGTGGAGCCTTGTTAGTCTTTGCTGAGGTCTTATGTGATATCATGTCTGCCTTGAGAGATTTCCCGGACCGCCTCTGTTGGTTCTGGGCAAGCAATACAATCCTCTGTGATTGGATGGAATAGTGCTCCAGCTGCATAGATATAGTCTCTGAATGGCTCTTGGGTTCACCATGCCAGTCTCTTAAGAAATGTATCATAGTTACTGCTGTGGTGTTAGGGGGAGAGAGAAAGAGAGAGAGAGAGAGAGAGAGACCCACATGGAGTAAAAAAATGGACATGTCATCTACATACAGAAATCATGCCAAAGAAAAAAAAAGTGGTGACAGGCACAGAAAGAGAAGACAGAGAATTGTCACTGACCATCATTTTCACTGTGTGTTGCCACCTTCTGGTATACAGCATCTTCAACCTCAAACAACTTAATATGGAGGTGCAAAAAGATATAAACACATTCAAAACACTCATGTGTTTGCAAGGAGAAATAAAGATATACACAGCCAAATTAAAATACCTGGACATCTCCAGCTCCCTCTTTTCCCTCGATTGTCTTGGCTATCTCCATCAGAGGCCAGGCCAGCTTAGACAGGTCAGAGTTCTCCTTCCATTCAGACACTAAGCGGGGGTAGTAGGCTTTCTGTCGAGGAAAACACCCCATCTGTTAATAAACTACAGTCCAAGGCAGCACACAAACTTGGCATTGTGACTTCTTCTACAGTAATACTTACAATGTAGTTGTATCTGTGGAGACTTCCAATAATGTGGTTCCGCATGTCAGCTTTACTAAGTCGACACACACACACCGCACACAGGTACATAACTTCTCTGTTGCGTGCACCCACCTTCACGCATTCTATGATGCTGCCCAGGCCTGGGTGTACATGAAACAACAAATTATTTCAATACACACAGGACACAGACAACATACACACAAAATAGGCACACAAATAATTGTTGCTACAGACCAATGATGGGTTGTAGTCTGTTCTTGTTGTTCAGATACACCTTCAGAGAACCGAACAGCTCACTTTTGCTTGAAACTCCTATAAACAGAGAATGCATCCGTCAAAAATATTTCCTGACAAAAGCATGCAGGTAAATGCAAAAGCAAGTATGGTATGGTATCATGCATGATACCCCACATGCAGAGAGTCAAAGACGTACCTTGTTGTGCCTGATCCGGATGCATGCTGCAGTTGTAGACTCTCCACCTGCACTGAAGTTGGATCTTACATTCAGTAATGATAATTCAATCAAATTCAGATTATTTATTCAGGAAAGCAAAAAATTAGTGCGCTTGTGTCCAGATACCTTAACTATTTTTTTGTTTTCCCCCAAAATAGCATGAAAAAGTGAAAAAAAACAACCAAAAAAACAATAGCATAAGGACAGAGAAATTTTATTTATTTATTTATTTTTTTTTTTTTACAAAAAGTAAGGTCAGAGGAGAAAGTATGACGCAGGGACAGAAACCTTGTGGGAAATAATTTGTACTTATTTATTCTTCATTTTACAGATTAAGTTTTACCAAATATACATACAAGTTCAATTATGTATTTTATTTATTACCTCACAAACATTTCAGAAGATAATGGTGTATGTAACCAAGTGGTTCAAGAATTCATTTGATGTTCTACTCCAATGAAGATATCACCCTCAGAGGAATGTTCTCAGGGAACAGCTAGTCACGGTGGAAAGTACAGATAGCATGAAATATTGGTGTCTTGGGAGCATAGGCCAGGACAAGGAAGGGTGAGGAGGGGAGTGTGCTTACAATTAGGGCCACAGAAGGAGGGGACAGAGTTATGGTAGTGACCTACCTTAAATAGTTTATCATTTTTGTTAATTTATTTAGTAGAAATGTGAACAAACTGTGGCTCTGGTGTAGGTTACACTGTAACCACCAGATGGAGCTGCAGTATCATCAGACTGTTCAGACAGGATACATGAGTCAATGCATTGGTCTACAATGAGGTCGTTTTGGGGTTTTTTTCCAAATTTGTAAGAAATCCCCAGCTGATTAATTTATTGTTGTGGCTTTCTGTTGTTGTTTCAGGGTAAAACAACTAAAAAGCTCCCAGATTGTAATTTAAGGGGGAATGTGGACAGAAAGCGTTATTTTCATTACAACAAATTACATTACATTAATCACAGCAGTTGCAGTAAGGATGCGCACAAAAATCATTTTTTTCTGTTGGTAACCTCTGCTAAACAGCCCTGCAGAATTAACACTGACTGCCCCTAATTTTTCAGGAAACCCCTTGGGGCCAGTTAAGACCCGTTAATAGTCCCTGGGAAAAGTTATAAGAGTTCGTAATTCTCAGTTGCCGTTAACGTTACACTGAAGTTACAGTGAGCAGTATAGTGAAAAACGAGCATATTTGTAAGATATTCACCAGTGGTATAAATTAGTGAGTTAGCGTGTTAACGACATCAACTAGTTGGCAAACAATTCATTTCCCCAGTCGAGCTGAAAAAAAAACAGGTTAAGCTTTTTAATGCGACACTAAACTGACTTTAGACATTCCTAACAACCGTTAACTGCCGTTAAGCGTCATTTAACGTTAGCAAATTAAGTGAGCGCTAAAAGATAAGTAACAGTTATTTAAACATCTCAATCGTAACGTTACCTATATAATAACCTAAGATATGTTTTAATGTGTTGTGTATCACCATTCACCACAGCTCTGGGCAGAAATAGTGACATTAGTTCACTCAGTAGATGAACCAGTGGTGACCAGCTCTCTAGCTACACAGCCAACAAGTCACGACATGACATCGGTATAATTCTTATTAATTTGTTTACAAGGCAAAGACACTGATTTCCCACCTTATTGATAAACTTACCGATAAAAAACGTGGTGTCCGCTTCTTTTTTGTTAAGTCGAGTTAATTGATCTAATTAAACGTGCTGTGCTGAAATCCGAGAAGTAAAGTTAACGTTTACACAACAGCGTCTGTCTGGCAGTTCACTCACTGCTTACCTTCCTAGTGCACTGACAACATAAACTGAGCAGAGCTAAGAAACGCGGCGAGCTCTTCTTCGTCTCTTTTATTGAGGTCTATTGGCGGTTGGCACACCATCACTGCCACCAACCGATAGAGTGTGGGTCAGAAGGTCAGAATGTCAAAACTCATATATTCTTAATCAAATTAGTTAGTCGGAGATAATGAATAGGATTTGACAACACTCATTTCTTCTGTCAGTGTAACATAACATGCACTACTGTACATCTCCCTGTATTACGTTGACCTATTTTGAATAGTGTACTGCTTAGTGTAGTGGGTCTTGATGTTGTCTCATATCCCCTGCTCCTTCCAGCACACCTCGTTTCTCCCTCTTACCTTTGAACTCTTGTTTTGCATTTGCTTCTGTCTCTGCTTCATAACACTCTTGATTTCTGTCCTGCTGAAACTAATTGCCAAATCAATGTTGTTATTTTTGTGGCTTCCTTTGCAACCTTATCTGCCATTTCATTTCCTTTGACACCAATATGCTCTGGCACCCATAAGAATATTACTCTAACACCCTTCATTTGTTTTCTGTGTAATTAATAAGTGGTCTTGTATCCTCTCTCCACTGCACTGCTAACAATATTGCAAGCATTTCTCTTGTGTAAACTGCTCAACCTTCACTGATCATTCTCCCTACTTTAAACTCTCACCATCTTTGCTCTTATTTTATAATATAAAATCTACTGTGGCGTCGGGAAGTATCCAGGATGGTCCTGCTGGAGATGGTACTGTTGGACTTAAGTTTAATAGAGCTACTTTAATTTTGGTCGCTTTCTTTGTCACTTTCTGTACAAAGCTGTTGTTTTCCTCCATGCCCTCTCTCCCAATAAAAATCACACAGGCATCACAAAAACCAATGCATTGATTACCAAATCTAAAATGCTCATTTCCCACACAAAAATTTAAAGACCCCTCTAATACTTTCATAATAGCCCCCTGCTTTTTCTTTACAATTAACTCCATTTTTTTTATTCTTACTGACTTGTATCAATCTTCCTATTAAAAGGTCCTTAATACATCCATACAAAGTCTGATTAATAACACATATCATATGCTTTCTCTAAAGACAGCCACAATACTTCCTCTGTTTATCTGTGTTATTCTGATTTCATGTTCTAATCTTGAAGCTGAAACCATAGTTTTTGTTCTTCTCCTGGAGCCACTCTTTATTTTCTATATGTAAACCTTTCATTTTTTCTATTATTTTTGCATACGCTGGATGTTAAAGAAATTGGTCTATAATTCCCTGGGTCTGTGCAGTCTTTCCCTGGCTTGCATATTGGAATGACGACAGCCTCTTCCCAGCTTTGTGGCAATTTCCCAGCCTCCTAAACTTGATTATATATAAATGCAGTAAAATATCCTTAGATGATTCACTGGGACAAGGACTTTATACTAGGTTTATGTAAAAAATCTGATCCATGTCTGGTGCTGGCATCTTGGTTTTCTTGACAGAGCGACTCAGTTCTGTCCTTGTAAAGGGCTTGTTTAAGGGGTCATTGGTCTTCCTTCCTGTCTGGCACATCTGTGGCGATCTGTCCCGTGTCTCGTCAAGGCCTTACTCTCGCTTTTAATCCCTGCAGCTGTAATGAGCTCTTTTTAATGTCACATCATTGAATAACAAACTACTTTTGTAGCAACACTGATAGAGGCTTGTCCTCCAAACTATATTTTTTTCATCAGTCAGTCAGACAAAACAGGAAAAGAGGAAGGATTGCAGCCATTTTCTCTACACAGTTTGTGTGTTATTATTTGACTTGAGTGAATTTACATGATTTTGCATATTTTGCTCTTGAGCTCAGAGCAGCAGTCATTGCATTACATTGGCCACCAAGATATTCACCACTATTTCTACAGCAAAAACTGAACTGAGCTTCTTGCAGTTTGAGGTTCAGGACACATTCATGGGTGAAATTGCTGTTAAAAAAAACTTAGAGTGGCGCCGAGTTGTCTATATACTTCATCAGTTACATGTCCTGTTTGTGTTTGTGTGTGACAATAAGGTTTCTGTCATCAACTGTTCTGGGGTCTGCCTGTAATGCAATTTCATGTATAACAGCTCCAACAAATACCATGCATGTGGAGGAGGAGGGTCATGAAAACCTGAAGACAAAACACAGCCCTTCCCTCCCTCCAACCTCCCACCTCCCTTCCTCTACTCCCACCAGTCCTTTTATGACTCTCAGGCACTGTGTGTAGAGTTCTAAATAACAAGACGCCCTACACCAACACAACAAATTTACCTTGTGCAGTCTTTACAGTCCTAACCAAAACACTAACTGCATTTAATTTTGCATCTTATTTTAGACATCTTTACGCCCACAAAAACTGATTATACCCCCATCCATAGGTTAGATCTGCTAGGTCTCAATAAATTATAAATCCTACCTTGGATTTGATGTGTGGGAGTTTGTTCAAATGTTGGGGGGAAGAAAAATTCAATAATTGTGCTGATTTACTTGCAGCAATTATTATTACAGGAATTAAAGAGTGATGGGGAAATGAACCAGGAAACATAACCACAGTTGCTGATGTTTTTCCTATAGGTTTATCCGGTAGTAACCACTGACAGATTTATAGCCAACATCTGGAAACAATCAGCCCCAGCCCCACATGTATCAGACCTATAGAGCACCCCCATGCTGAAAAGAACACAGTAACATACCAAAGAATAATTGAAATATGATAATTAGTATAAATATGAAACCGATATAAGTCATTATAAAAGTTATACACTCATAACAGAAAAAAATCACATTCTATAGAATGGATTCCTAGCATGGATAAAAAGTTATGGTTCATAACACTCACCTGTATCATACTGCTATATCATGTTTATATATCATAAAGAACAATAATGTAATGATATTTCCATAGTCTTATGCAACATACTTTCACACATACATCTTATTTCGGTTGTATAGAGTTCACAGAACGTACATAGAATCTATGTTGTAGTGTTTGTGGTTAACAATTGAGCTCTGCTAACCACAGGCTCGCAGGCTTTTGACATAGGGGCAATGGTTCAGTGTTGGGGTTTAAAGAGCGAGCAGTACCCTGTGTCTTAAATGGAAACCAGGGAAAAGACAGAGGAACAGAAGGCAGATAATATCACAATTATCAGGACAAGGAGAGTTACTGATACATAGACAATGTAGTAGCGGAAAGATTATTCTTGAGACAGTCTTGCTAGTTCAGAGTATATTTCATTTGAATACAAGTGCTCGGTGTCGGACGGAATATCTGCAGATAGCCGCAAACAACAATTTCCCAAATCCTACCTTTTATTGAGCAGCACAAACAACCTCACGTCCCTTGTGGAAACAATCAAACACCAAGATCCCGTTTGAATCCTGTGAAAAAATCTCCATTGCAGTAACTCTATTTCACAATCTCTGGCCCCTCTCCCAGAGCTCTTGCCCAGGTCACACCGGCACAATTCAGTTACATAGTTCATTCTCACTAATGCTTTCCATGGATGTAGACGGAAGAAGTGGAATACATAAATACATACTGAATTACTGAATACATGAGTACATGAAATATAGATAGATGATTACAACTTATATATGACCTTTTGCCACTACAACAAGACCATACTGTTCCTGTAGTGGTTTAATATAAAGTGAACTGATGTGTCAGAGCACTGTGTCAACAACAAAGTATATTGAACTAATGTTGTTTGGTAACTTGTGTATAGACAAGCAAATAGTAGCAGCAGTAGATAATATGTTTAGAGGTTCTTTCCTGTAGGAGTGTAGAAAGGCTGACTGCCTGAGACAACTCTGTAACTGCTGATGGTTGTCTGCCCACTTGCACTGTGTGTATATGTATATGATACTTTTGAGAAAGACATCTTCTCTCGTGAGTCTTTCTTTCAAGAACTTCCACCATGGCTTTTATTAAAAAAACAAGCCACCTGTTAGCCTACCCGATGGGGTCTTTTCCTCTTCCATAACTGATCAAATCCTCTATCCATGCCTCCATAGTGGGAGTCATGTGAGGACAATAACCTTTGCGGGACAGTTTCACATTCAGATGTCACTGTGCCATTTGTACCCTGGTACACCGAAACCAGTCGGGTCCCCGTCCACTGGTAGGACATAAGACACTGACAATCACGTGCCGGTGAAGATTCTCAGTCATCCAGGTCATATCATCTCAGCCAACTGGACTTACTTGAGATTCTTGAAGACATTTCACCTCTCATTCAAAAGGCTTCTTCACTTCTAGCTGACTGGTGAGAAGTTGCAGGTATATAACCTCTTGTGGGGTCATGAGGATCGTTGAAGAGAGTGCTCGACCCCCCAGCCATCATGTGAGTTGTTAGTGCCATGGTGCGGATGGCTGCTTTCCTGTGACAACTAAGATTGAAGACTGTATCTGAGGAACTACTCTAACGCCAAAATGTATGTGAGGAGTCATTATTTTCTTAGACTGGAAAGACTACACCTCGACAAAGTTTTGTCAAATTTGATACCAAAGTCTACTTCCACTTCTGATTAAATATTTTTTTGGATTACATCGACAGTTTCAATTGTCCCTGTACTCAAATGGCCTCATGTGGACGATACTCACTCCAAGGGTTCTAGGAAGTCACCCACTGGCTGTAATCTTAACTCCTGCCATTCAATCCATCATTGATTATATCGATCTGGAACGGAAAGAGGGGTATGATGACTGACCATTTTGCTACACGGCCATAATAAATGTAACAAATGTAGTAGAGTATAAGAATGCTGTTAATTAAACTAAAACTATTGTTGTAGTTAAGCATGTTAGGAATTAAAGATGAAAGGCAGAAAGTAAAGACTACAAAGAAATCCAAGGAAAATGTTTAACATGTGGTAACCAGTTATAACCAACTACCATGTAATTGAACCCTAAGTGTTTTGGGAAAATACATTAACTCGTATTGAATGATACATGGATGACTGAATGGCACATGACAGAAAGTTTTCTACCACATCCTGTCAGAGTTCTAATTAAATAATAGTGGAGCCTGTTGTAGAGGGTCATGATTTCAAATCCAAGCCTGTCTAATAACTAATTGCTCTTTAAACCTTCAGGTCAGAATGTCTTAAAGACAGCAGATGTTCCCGTAACAATAAGAGTCACACATTTCAAAGAATTTGTGTACCAAAAACACACCAAAAATAAAGCTATTTATGAAATAGATAAATATATTACTGTTGGAATAATTGTATATGGATTTATCTCATATTTTCTACCTAACCATGTATCCTGCTTTACAGTTTAATAATCATGCATCCAGTTTGTCTTGTGTTGAAGTTGTTTTGCAGGTAGTAGCTGCTAGAGGAGATCACAAGCTGTCACGGTGCATAGAGCAGACTGAAACCAGCCTGTTCTACTTCTACATCATGGGATGAACATTTGAACAATATATAATTGTGCACCTATCACGTTGCTACTGTGTGATCTCACCCTTTAGAACCGCAACGCCTTGTAACTAGTGAAGGCCTTGAAAGACAATAAAAAGAGAGGACAAGGCGGAATATGCTCAGAGCGGGTTGGAGATTGTAACTGAGCATATCTCTGTCCGTTCTCCTCGCGAGTAAGAAATCTAACGCTGTGTCTTGTCCCTTTTGTTTCTTATTTTAAATGTCTTAGGTTGTGTAAACCTGACAATTACGCATTAAGATTCCCATTTTACAACAATTTTATTAAATTGAACAAAATATGAAAATGAAAAGTACTTCAAAGATCACAGTGGTAACTGCTGAAAATGTTACATTAAAAAATGTTAAAAACTGAAATGAGCAACAGCAGCTTAATATACACATTTTCAAATGGTTTACAAATTATTTACAAACTCAATATTCATATTCAATGAATGCAATACTTTTAAACATATTTGCAATATCCTGAAGTCATTGCTACACCATCAAAAAAATCAGTTAACTTCATTTAAAATGAATTGTCTATTAGGTGTTTCAGGAGTTTGAAACCATTTGACACATCTTTCAGACTGTGGCAATATATACATATGGTTTAACAGGTAGTCTCATGGGAAATTAGAGGGGTGGCATATGCCATAGAGGGAGCTACAGGAAAAAAGCCTGTACCAGAAGCTAAAAAGGAGTTTTCCTGGGAGATGCTTTCACTATTGGCTGTAGGAGATTGGTGAAAGGCTGAGGGTCCGAAGTAAAGCTGGGGGATGGTCTGTGTTATTATATTGCTGCTGTTCTGCATTGGAGTGATTGTTTGGGTCTGACTGTAGGGAGTGATGAGGGGAACAGCGCCAAACTTGGCAGCATCATTGGTGACTTTGCCATCTCCAGCAGCCAGGTTGGCATTTATCCACGAGGAGTACTGCAGCTGCAGCTGTTGGTGTTGCTGCAGCTGCTCTTGTTGGTTTTGCTGCAGCTGCAGCTGTTGGTGTTGCTGCAGCTGCTCTTGTTGGTTTTGCTGCAGCTGTTGGTGTTGCTGCAGCTGTTGGTGTTGCTGCAGCTGTTGGTGTTGCTGCAGCTGCTGGTTTTGCTGCAGCTGTTGGTGTTGCTGCAGCTGTTGGTGTTGCTGCAGCTGTTGGTGTTGCTGCAGCTGCTGGTGTTGCTGAAGTTGCTGGTGTTGCTGCAGCTGCAGTTGTTGCTGCAGCTGCAGTTGTTGGTGTTGCTGCAGCTGCTGGTGTTGCTGTAGTTGTTGCTGAAGTTGATGGTGTTGCTGCAGTTGTTGGTGTTGCTGCAGCTGCTGGTGTTGCTGCAGCTGCTGGTGTTGCTGCAGCTGCTGTTGCATTGCTGGGCTGACCAATTCTGGGGGAACTGGAGTTGCCAACCTGTGTCCAAACGATTGCAGACTCTGGTTTGGGTAGAGCCCACTCGCACTGTACCCTTGGTATAACACCCCACTGTTCACAGGTAGGTTGTCTGGTGCTGAGTAACCTGCAACAACCTCAGAAGAAAGATGACCTGAATTTCCATTTATGACATAAGCCATTTGGCTATACTGCCCATACCATCCTAAAGCCGCCTGAGAGTTACTAGAGTTTGCCATTTCAACTGTGGACAAACTCTGAGCGGCCTGACTGCCAATGTACACCTCAGTGTTGTCCTGTCCTTTAAAGCTGCCCATCAATTGCTGGTTAGTTGGGGTTGACCTGGCAGTTATGATGGGTTTAATGGGCAGATGACAAACCCCAGTGGTGTCATTCTGTGTGTTACCTTGTGGCTGTGATATCTGCCCTGCGTTATGATTGGTGGCCTCACAGTTGATGAAATTAGGTTCGAGCTGGTTCCCATTTCCAAAGATGTTCTGAGTATTGACACTTCTCTGGTTTTGTAGCTCACTGGGGTCAGCAGTGCTGGCAGAAGATAACATGGTGCTGTCTGACTTGGCTGTAGCTTTATCCAGCTGACACTTTGAATCCCATCTTGTTTTGTTTTTTGCCCTTTTCAATTTAGTCTGAACAAGCTTTGAATCCCATCTGCTTTCCACACCACTTTCAGATGAATTGTGAGAACAGGAGGTCGTAGTCTCAGCATTAGGTGGATCTGACTTGAAAGGAGAGACACTTGTCCCAGACCTACTCTCTCTCATCAGAGCTATTAGGTGTGCAAGCGGTGTACAGTCCACAACAGATATGTTATCTTTGTCAGGTGCAGGGCCTGTGTCATTGTCCTTTCTCGACAGGGTGCTAGAGGTTGCATCAGGGTTAACAGAAGTGGACTCGCAGGTTGGTTCAGGGCTGGGATGACAGTGCTGCTGCAGTGAGCAGCATGTGGATTTGGCTGGCAAAGGATCCTCAAGTTTGGGCTTATCGGTGCAAGTTTTGAACAGTGTCTCAACAGATGTTTCTGCTGGCCTTTTCCTGGATGGAGGGCAGTCATCTCTGGGAGACACTGGCAGGGTTTGAGTAGTTTTAGGACTAACAGGAGGCCTACAGAAAGATTGGGGTTCTACGTGCACCTCCGCCTGTTTCACTTGCATCTCAGCGACAGTTCTTTGGTACTGAGAGATTGGTGGACTGAGTTCTGGTTGCATAAAAGAGCTCCTTCGGGTCTCTTTGGGACTGAGACATGTGCCAGAACCGGGGAATGGAAAGACAACAGAATCAGTGTTTGAGGAGGCACTGGTAACATCCAGAGGACTCGAGACGGTTCTATGTTTGACCCCATCCAAATCTCCAGCCATTGCTGTCTCTTCTTCCAAATGATCTTTTTCTAGTTTTTGTCTTGCTCCTATGACAAGAAAAGAGCTTAAATTTATAACAGTTTACAGAAAGAAAATGAGAAGCTCCATTTTTGAATCCTCCATAAATCTTGCGTGGGGACAAAATGGCGACAGCAAAGCAGCTTAAAAACCATTCTTCAGAAACCTACGGGTGATGTCATGGAGGCTACATCCATCTTTATATACAGTCTGTAGTACATATACAACATATAAACATTTCATACCATTGTCATTTCTCTGGTCTGTCTCAGGTGCCTCCACTGGAAGAGATTCCATTTGACTCTCAGACTGTTCTGTGCAAGAGAAATCAAATGTCATAGCTCATACCCATATTCTGCCTAGTTAAGCTGTGTATAGGAATGGGAAAAAAGACTCATCTCACTGCACTGCAGAACAGAGAGGTTCAGGAGATCCTTTGTTCCCACTGCCATCAGGCTATACAACACCTCAGCCAAAGGAAGTGGACTAATCTAATTATTATTGTTTATTTATTATCAACTGTTATTATTGTTATTATTATTATTATTATTATTATTATTATTATTATTATCATCATCATCATCATCATCATCAACAATGACATAATGGACACATGAATTTCCCCTAGGGGATCAATAATCTATCTGTTGCTGGGCTGGTGGGACTCACCCATCTGTTGTGGAGTACTGGTGGGTAGACAGAGGACGCTCAGTTTATCTTCTTTCTTGATGTTTTGAACCATTTTTAAAGCTACAAAAAGTAATCAGCACAGTTGATACTTATTACTGTATACTTCAATACATCAGAAACTTGAACAGTTGCAAATTAAACCGACTCGTACCTTCATTGAATGGTGCTGTCCGCACACATTTATACAGCTCCTTTCCCAGCATTACACCCTTTGTGAGAGAAAACATACAGGGGAACATAATAATTAGATAATAATAATTAGAATAATGAATGTGCATTTCCACTTTGTCCATTAACTTATTTTTTCAGGCAAATGAAGCACAATTGTGAAATCAACATATCTTGTCCACCATAAGTGATATAACTTCTTTCTGTGCTAATCAGAAAGGCAACAAATATGCTCTAATAGCTTTTTAAGCGTAACTTGCCAACATCATCCCATTTTGACACATGCATTACACACGCATGTAACTGCAGGTTACCTGTGCATCTATCTTGTAGTAACACTCCCGCTGTGACAGTAGCTGGGCAACGCCCTTTAAAATGTCAAGTTTCTCATCTTGGGTCAGACTCTCCTGCTGCCAGAACGACAGATGCTTCGGATGATGCTTCAACTGAAAGACATGCATATCATATCAATAAAAAAAATGTGGGAGCAAATGTTAAATATATTAGCTGTTCGGAGGTTTTCTATGCATTACTGAGACACCACCCACAATGTAGTTGAACTGGTGATCAGAGCTGACCAAATGCTGAAAGATGTCCTTGAGGGAGAGCGTCTCACTGCAGCTCTCACACAAATAGAATGATGTCTCAGATGTCCCTTTACACTCCCACACGCAGCCCAGACCTGATGAGGACACAATATCTTTAACATTTTGTATGCTTCAGTGAAATGACATGAAATAATAGGAGATTGTTGTGCAAGGATGGACACACCCACCTACTGGTTCCAGTCCCTTCACGCTTAAGTACTTGGACAAATTACTTGTCCCCTGAGTTCTTTCCGCTGTGACACCAGGTCAAAATAACAAATCAGTATGTTAAATGACAAAAGCCACCAATTTATACAGTGTAGGCTAAATGCATAATATTACCTCGTGAAATGTTTGGGAGTGCCTGTGACGCGCTGTGCTGTGCAGATCCTGGACTGCATCCTGGGTGTTTCGGTACAAGTTCTGCATTGAGACTGGATCTTGATTGGTTCTTCGGTTCTGTATTCACCGGAGCTGTAGAAGAGAAAGGGTCTGGGCTGGACGATATTACAGGTGATGTCTTCTCTGTGTCTTGTATCTCTGAGTCACTTCTCTCTTGCTGCTGTCTGTTCTCAGGAGTCTCTTGGCATGTGTGATGGGTTTGAGCGAAGGTGCCTATAGTTTCTGAGTCAGTGGCAAGGGGATATGCACAACCATGGACTGCTGGGAGGTAAGGAACAGGGAGATAGATTGCGGACGTGACACAGAAGTAAGAGACAAATGTACAAACAATAACAGAATCGCAAAAACATTTTATATTTAACTTTATGTGAAGTGGAATCTGCAGTCAATTCATTCTACAAATTAACAAAACAGAGAGCAAAAAATGATAGCGGCTAAAAAATATTAGTGCTGCAAGAGTCAGAAAAAGTTGAAAGAAAAGGCTTGGTATTTACCAAGACTCTGAATTGCAGTTGTGACTTCAAAATGAGCCTTGGCCTCCACATCTGGCTCAATCCTTTCCTGTTTGATAGTGACTGAATAGAGCAGAAATCACTTAATAGTCCATCCTTGACAGCGGCTAAAAAATATTAATGCTGCAAGAGTCAGAAAAAGTTGAAAGAAAAGGCTTGGTATTTACCAGGACTCTGAATTGCAGGTGTGACTTCTAAATGAGCCTGGGCCTCCACATCTGGCTCAATCCTTTCCTGTTTGATAGTGACTGAATAGAGCAGAAATCATTTAATAGTCCATCTTTAAATGCATACATTAGGCAGTTTGATTTTCTGTTGGAGAATGTGTAATGACAAACACAGATACATTATACCTGCTATGTGTGCATCTTGAATGCTGGGAGCTGGATTGGGGTCTGGATCATTTTTGAAGCTCACACATGTCTGAAGCTGGTCTGGTACCAGGTCAGTAGCTTCTCGGCCTTTATCAGTCCAGTTCTGAGCTCTGTCTGACTGACCCGCTTTTTCTTTCAAGTTGGATTTCATTTCTGAATTAAGAGCAGTAATGTATTCAACAGTGTGCAATTTCAGAACAAATATCACTAAGTCAATAAGATTTTTTTTCTCCAGACCAAAGAAGCATTTGCACTTTTGTTCTTACCTGGCCTATGGCCCAATAGTGTCTGGAGCTCATGTTTACTCTCCCGGTTTGGTTTGTTGTTAGTAGAAAGTCCTGACATTTCATTCTGTGGCATGTGCATCCCTGAGAGACAGAAATTGCATAAATTGGTCGAATATAGTCCAGATCTGTGCGTCTCATTCACAGCACATCACAACATCATCAAATTACATCATAATGAGTTTTTGAAGTCATCAAAAATAAAGACTCAGAAAAAAAGTACTCAATTAAGGTGTCAATATGTCCAAAGACAACAATATTCCCTCAGGAATGTAAGTACAAAAAAAAAATGTATTTGCATGAGGGTGAAAAACACAGATAAATTTCAAACTTGATTCTTAGAAGTGACACATGAACTTACTATCGTCTGGGCTTGAAACTTCATATGGACAGGGGAGGGCACCTTGCTGTCCTAAAGCCTCTGCATCATCAGTTGCGGGGGATGATGGAGATTGCAAGTTTCTGTGTCTCAGCATTTTTTTCACTCTTTCAAGAGCTGAGAGCAAAGAGACACAGAGAAAGTGGAATTAAGACCAAAACAATGACAAGGTGTATAAAACTGTCCCCTCCATGGAAATTAGAAATTAAAATTAAATTATCCATTGTGAGCAATGTTCCTGCAAAGTTGGTCATTTACTATCATACCATGTTTTATTGAAAAGAAAAAAATGACATATTTTTGTATGCACAAGTTTACAAAAACTAAACTGTAGCTGTTTCTCTATTAACAACCAACTCTAACCCCACGCGAACGCCCACCTGAAGTACATGTATCATACCGTAAAACTGCAACAGAAACAATCTGTTATCAACCATATCAAGGTAAGCAGAGAAGAACATTACTTTCAGTCGATGGGACATTTGCCCCTCAGAGCCCCAAACTAAAGAGGTATGTTACTTTGTGGCTTCCTTAAAAAAAAGGATGTTTTCTTTGAAGCAGTGACCAAGTATTTCATTATTCAGTACTGTCAGAAGCAAATAGGTTAGTCAGTTAAGTTACATAACAGTTAAAATCTTTGTATCAGTCGTGACCTTGACTACTGTCAGCACTTTAATTTATCTGCGAACTGCTCCATGTCTTAAGAAAAGTAGAAACACAAGATTTTACATTACGCTCTGACATCCCATTAATTATTCATTTTTACAATGAAAACCATGTCTACATGCAGTAATACTGGCCAGGGTTCAGGGATGTTACCAGGAAATTAAGTATGTTTGGTAAGAAAAATTAGTAGTCACATCCACATGTCCAAAATAACATAAAAACTCTGTCAAGGCTTTGTTTGACAACTGGGAGGAACATCTGTCTTCCAAGGCTGGTTTGAGATACCTTACTGTCTCTCTCTGCGTGACAAGATGGTTTCAATGAGAAATTCTGTTTTTTTTTTTTAATTAATGCTCTTGCTAAACCTCTTCCTTGGAAAGTTGCTTCAAAGTGGATTTTTATTATTATTTTTTTTTTTAATGATATTGGAATATCTTTACCTTTGCTGTCCGAGAGATCACGCAGTGTTGCGTATTCATCACTTGTCACTTCCATACTCTAGCAGAATAAAAGACAAAATCATACATGTAATCTAAAAATCACATCACATTACGTTACATTACAGTCCACAGTTCTGTTACTCCAGCAAGCCCTCTGTTTCCTCGGGATGCTTTACCATCTCTTACCCAGTTTTACACAAGAACATCTTGATGATTTCAAATTCTCAACTAATGATTAATCTTGCTATGCGGTAGAAATATGGTGCAAGATTTCTCACAATGTAAACCATGTCACTCCACTGTATTTCTGATCTATGCGTTGAAGACAAGAGTCACTTATTGTTCCATAACCACATTGCTTTTTTTTTCCCAATGTAGTACAGTGTCTTTGCCTGAATACAATTCTTCATCTTGATTCTTCAATCTGATTTAATCGCGTGATAAAATATGTACAAAAATTAACAACCACACAGACTGTTCATTTTTAATCATATTGACTGTATGAAGAGACTTGTGCAGCTCACCATGATCCTCTGAGATCCTACGTCCTTCTCAACCTCAGCCAAGTTGGCCACTATCTTGTTCAATTTACTCTCCTCCTCCGGCAGCTTGGCAGTCCACATCGGGTAGTTCCGCTTCTAGAAGGAAAATTCAAACCACACGGTTAACAACTGTAATACTGACCTGCTTTGCACGCTTCCGACATTTTCTACATCAAGACTTATCAATCACCCACCACGTATTTATACTTGTGGTTATTGTCGACCACGTGACTGGAGGAGTTCAACCTGACTGAACACAGCATACAGTAGACTTGCTTCTTTTCTCCGCACGTCACAGCAATCAGGAAGTTTACACCTATAAGACAAATATGCAGACCTCTGATTAAAACCAGAATGGGTTGAGAGGAAAGGAATTCACAGGCTAAATGATTGATTTTTTTTCTATACAAATAATTGTACTTACCAACTTTAGGAATGTTCTCACTTGATTTTGTCTTAGTCGTGGAAGTATGTGATGGCTGTGGGGGTAAATTCTTGTGCTCAGACCTGACAGACGTGGCTGTGGTCAGCTGGGGAGCCGCAGGTGGACTACTCTTGTGACTATGTGGTGCAACATCAGAGGCTTCAGTATTTCCACATTTAACTGACGTTTTAGCCACATCACCGGACAAAATTGTCACTTTAGTTTGAGATGTGGCCGTAATTTTGAATGCCGTTTCAGAAGGCGAAGTTCTGCAGACAGATTCACGCAACACAGCGGTCCCTGTTTGAGATGTGGGTGCAGCTTTACATGAAGTTGCTGTAACTTTGGATGCAGCTCCGGTTCTGCTGTCCAGTGGTTTGGACACTGGGGCCGATTTTGTGGTTGATTTTGAATGACAGGAGCCACTTCCACTATAGATGGGGGCGGTTCCTGTCAATTTGGAAGAGGCCGCTGTATATTTAGAGGTGGTTGCGGTGCCGATGTTGGTACTTGCTGTCGATTTGGTGGTGGCTGCAGAGGCAGTGGAGGTAGATGCTGTACTTTTGTAGTTTATTTCTCTGCGTTTCGTGGGAGTTGTACTGCAGCTGGAGGTGGGAACTGAAGATCTGGTGGTTGTACTAGAATTGGGGTTGGTTGCAATTTTATCTTTGAGGTTATTTCCTGTGGAATCAGAATGCAACACATGTAGACGGGACGCGTCTTTACTACTTCTGGAAACAGTCAGACAGGTGTTAGCATTGTCAGCTGACTCAGGGACTTTGTTATGGGTCACTTTGATGTCTGCATTTGATTGACGAGGGACTTTTTTGGAGGCGTTTTGAGTGATCACAGACATGGTTGCAGGTCCTGAGACTGGCTCTGCCAGAGAGTCTTCTGAGTCATCATCAATCTCCACCACCTTTGAAAAGAAAAACAACATTGACTGCCCATTGATCAGCTGTTTTGGTACACACCAAAACAATTACTGCGTATAAAACCTTAACTTCCTGAGATTTTTTTTTTGGTAATTTCATCACTAACAAACCATCACACTCCGGTTATCTTCTCAGGTGACTTGTTAATATCTTTAATCCCAATTTAGGATTCAAACTTTGTTCTTTATCTGCTTCCTACCTCTTTGGCCTGTTTATTGTACTGCTGTAACATTTGAATTTCCCCTGTGGAGATCAACAGTCTTATCTTTAAACTCATCAAAGCATTTAAATGAGGTAACATGGTGAACTTTGAAGACAATCCCAGCAGATAAAATTACTATCTTATAAGACATAAAATGTTTAGATAAACTGTAAATTATAAATACATCCTAAGAGAGGGTAATACTTTGTAGGACTGAAATGACATGGGCTACAGAATTTATCACTAGCACTACGAGGACCAAATGGTCACAGCTGAAGTGAAACAATCCCAAACATTTTGACCACTTGTGTGAGCAAAAGCAGGCTCAAGCAGTAAAGCAATCAAGTCAGCGTTTTGCCTGCTCTAAAACCTAAGTCCTGTAACCCTGAACCATAAAGACATCCTACAGACAGATTTTATCTGAGAGAGAACGTGCCAGATGTCCTTCAGGTCGGCAGAGCGGCAAAGAGGAAGAATGTATGAAGTTAAAAACCTGGGATGATGTAAAAATAAAAAATAAAAAATTAAATCAAAATGTTTTGCATTAAGCATCTATTTTACTTGAGAAATTACATTGGTTACGTATTCTTAACATGGCCATCCAGTACTATCACATTTAGATTACCCAACAGAAGGCATGCAAACGTTCATCTGCCCAGCATGCAGTTTGACTTCCGTATGACAACCTGACAAAGTAGGAAATGCTGTTCACAAACCATTTAGATGCCAAATGGACTGACCTGGATGTTGTCCGTCGAACAGTCCTCATATTGGGCCTGAACAGTGACTGAGGCATGCGCAGGTTGAACACCAGATAAAACTGAGGTTGAAGGGAGGCCAAGCCCACTGTCCTGCTGAGCCTCTAACTCTTTCACTGTCTGTATGGCTGTGAAGATAATATACAAAAAAAATTGCACAGCAAATTAGCTTCAACCAAAGCCAGTTAGAACAAAAAAATACATGCTCAAAAATTAAGGGAATGTGTCCTCTTACCTGACATAAAGTTTTGTTTTAAGATGTTATTGTACATTTCTTCATCCAGCTCAACAACCTGAAGTCCCAACATAAACAACAATTAGCAAATCCTATTATTGAGTTTGGTTTGAATCTTTCAACAACCAAGATCTTTTCTCCAACGTTGCCTCGGACTGACCAGAGGAAAATGGTAAATTTTTTTAATCTCAGTTCATGGAGTGATAGTTATAATCATGTCTGCAAGTTAAAGAATTTAGGATGAGTCCAAACCTGAGCTTCTCCGTATCCTTCATCTCGTTCCAATAAAGCAGCCTCATCTCTGACTTTCTTCCTCTGATGCTCCACTGGTGCAGCTGAGAGTTTCCCTAACCCCTAATGTCATAAACAGGGAACACACAGGGGGACAGCCTCACTATTACAAAACAGACTTGTCACTTTGAATATCAGCCTGCCGGCCAGAACAAACACTTACAAAGGTGGCTGTAATCTAGTAGAGAAGGTGTTAAATTACTATGGTAAGCTATGATTTCATTCTTCAACACTGAATTTTCATTGTTTTGTTTTTTTGTTTTGAAAACCAAAAATAGTTTAGAGTAGCTGGACAGCATGTATGGCACAACAACCATTTTATCTGTTAACATATAAACCTGATATGGACAAATTATGACCACACTGTGTGTTATTTTATGTGCTTGTTCTGGCAGGAAACCTACATGTACCTGCTGGAACGTATTTCACTATCACAGTCTAGCAGGGAAAAACGAAGATGGAAATTTGCATTCAACTGAACATGATGCTGGAAGTTCCTCTTCGGTTTGGGTAACTTGGAATGCCCCCATTTCTTACAGAGAAGTTGCTCTATGAAGGGATCGCATTGTGTTCGGGATGGAGAGGAGGAATGATAATACTGACCAGTAAGTCTCTCAAAGTATATAGAGCATATTAGAATTTAATAATAATAATAATAATAATCATTAATTAATAGACTTTAACATTCACTCACCATCAAATACATCTTCTGGTGGTCAAATCTAATAACATGGCTGATGATATTCTTCTCTGGGATCTTCGCAGAGCAGCACTCACAGAAGTAGATGGGGTCATGTTGATCACAATGGCATTCAATTAGTGCACTTAAGCCTAGAAAAGACATTGCTCATTATTAATATTGTGTTATCAATCTTCCATGTGGCAACAAATGATTTTCCTCACATTAATAATTTTACTGTAAAATTAATGAAGCACAGGTAAATGCAAAACATTTAATGAAATGTTATGAGGAAGCAAAAATATAAAAACTAAAAGTGCATTGTTTTTTTATTTTCATCTCCCAACTATTGCTTTACCCCATTATTAAAAAGATAACTAACATTTTAAACCACCATTACATGACAAAGGAAGACTTATTAACATATTAATGACTCTGAAGTAAGCGCTGTGTGTAGGGGAAAAATTCTTTATTACTAGTGTTTGATTGTTAGATATTGATATAGCAACGGACCTATAGAGGGTTGGTTAAACGAACTAGGAGAGGCCCTTATCTCAGCTGTCCAGAACAACTGTCTGCTTCTTTAAAAGTGATGAACAGTTCAGTTCTAGGCAGTCTGAGACTGACATCTCTGACTCATTTGATCAAACTATTGCTATGACTTTGTTCGACTCCATTTGCTTGTTCTTTGTCTGTTTTACACTTGCTTGCGTGATTCAAATAAACATCAAATCAAAGCGTTCTCCTTTGAAGCTTTCTCACCAAACAGTTTACGGATTTCCGCCACACTGTGAAAAATAAAATAAATGGCATAAATAAAAAACTGACCAATCACGGGATCTCGGCTCTTCTTCTTGACATACTGCCACAACTTAACAGTTTCCTGGTGGTGCGCGTTAGAAGTCACTGTAAGACAGCCACAGACAACCAGACTCAGCCATTTTCACACAACACAGTGAAAAAAATCTTCCACAAAAGTAAATCAGCATTTACATACCTTTATCCTTTAGAGTCCCGTGACTTGGTTTGCCACTCCCTTTCTTGTCAGTGGTGGTCACCCTATGTGGTTCAACACTTGGAGTTTTTTGAGATTCTTCACAAGGTGCGTCCTGTTTTGAGGTGAACCGCTGTCTTTTACATCCCATTTCTCTCCCCATACTCTCATCAGAACCCGTGTCATCTTGTGATTTTTCAGATGTACTGTTTGGCCTCTTTCTTTCATTATTCATGCATATGTAACTCTTCAATTGTGTCAGGACATATTGCTGACTTTTGCTCTCTTCTTTTCCAGTCTCGGCTTCATCATCTTTCTCCGGCACTTCCATCTCCTCCACCTCCTCTTTTATCACCTGGCATGTCTCCCTACCTGCATTCTTTATCTCATCCGTGCTAGCTTCTGAAAACACGTCTATTATCTTCTTTGGTTCTTTGTTACTTGGCGTAGGAGTCTTCTTATGGGCTCCTCTTTCTGCATTTTCTTCACTTTTTACAGCGCATTTATTGGCGATTTCAGAATCAAGTTTTACTGAAATATTTTCTGAGACGTTCTCATTGTTGTCTGTAGATTTTTGGCTGGTCCTTTCCTCAGATCCCTCCATCGTCCTACTGCTTTTCTGACTGTTGTCTCTCACATGGTCCTCATCCATTGTTTTCGGGGTTTTCTTGGGAACTGTGGAATATATGACATGATTAAGTACATTTGACTATAATTATCTGCAAAGTTTTGTTAAGCATCCTTTTCGGGGAGCAGTAACATGAATAGCAACAGATCAGTTGTCCAAATGAAGATTAATAATGAATGAGGTGAAGAGATTAGTAGTAGTGGAACTCCAGGCAACCAAATGTACCCATGAGGGTATACTGCCATGGGAACCCAACATGTGAACCCAAGCTTAACGTAGTCAAAAACAAACATTTCCAACTATTAAAGTTAAGATCATACTACACATACTGTACAAAGAACA